GACGGCAACAAAGCTTTGGTTACGTTTATTTTTATATCGAGCGGTTTCAAAAAAATCAGCGTTATAGGCAATCGAAGTGTTAATTGTGTAATCACGCATTTACAGCTACGGCGCTGATTTCTTTTTAAATCGCTCTTTACATGTAAAGGTTTAGGAGAAACATCCGCACCCTCAATGCCCGTAATGGACGATCTTTAGAAATAGGGAAGCACTATGAACGTTTCTTGCACACTCGCTTCTTATCTGAAAGCGCTCATTTTATATGCATTTAATTCTGTCTTTTTCCTCTATGAAGCCAGTACAACGTATACAATTCTATAACTGGCAAATTTGTTAAATCAAAACCAAATTGTGGTGTAATTCAACTAATGCATACACCTAAAGTAATTGTTAAGTCCTAATGTACATATTGTATCAATGTTCAATGTGAATAAACCAGTTCGTATTTGACTCAACAAAAGAGACATGACATGGGCCGCAGTCACGAACTAAAATTTAATTGATAAATCACAGTTATATGAAGAAAATGAAGTCCAGAGAAAATAAAAAATGGACCAAAGAAAAACCTACGACCTATGAAATTTAAGTGGAAACCTAGCCGAAAATTGGAAAAGTTGGATACAGCGATTCGAAAATATATTCAATCAGCAACAGAAGTTTAGATGGAAGGACCAGAAGATCCATATGCGCACAAATGGCTTCATCACATGGTGAGGACGCCATTAACATTTCACCAGTTTTCCAACGTTGCAGATAAACGAGAAAAAATAAATTGCCTCCCTCAAGGAAAGTTCGCAAATTAACTTTGTTCCAAAAACAAATGTCACGTATGAACGCTACAATTTTTTACTTTCGAGAACAAAATGAGGAACCGCTGGAACAATTCATCACAAATCTGAAAAACAGCTCAACTATGCTAATTTGGCGTGAAGAGGCATAAGGACGAATTAATAAAAAACATGTTAATAATTGGAATCAAAGGACGAGCCTGTCAGGGAAAAACTATAACAAGAAGACTTGACATTAGGACAAGCATTGATGTTGTATTCGTAACGAGAGTTCCCAGCTCAACAACTCGAGACATGAAAACAAAAGTACATGTCACAAGTCCAAGAGTGAACGAGATCGACAGCATTAGAAGACACAAGAACAATGGATCAAACCACGTGGCCAAATAAGGAGACGAAGTCACGGTTTTGGATAACAGAAGACCAATTTAAAAAAAGTAAGTAATTTGTAACAAGACTGTGGTAAGAAAATCACTCAATAATAACTGTTCTGCTTATGGTGCTTATGCATAATTGCAAAAAAACCAATCAATTTTGCAAATGTTTGTAAATATAAATCACATAGAAATGGAAAAATAAATGAAATTGTTGATCATGATAAATTTACGAACAAAGTCTGTGATAAATGAAATTAGTAAACAATTCAAAATTAATAATTGTACTATAGAACTGATTGTAAATAACAAAGTCAATGTGTTGTCAATTTAAAGTGGACACTGGTGCTAAATGCAAACTTTTCACTAGACCAATTGAAAAGTTAATTGAATTTAATGAAGAAAAGCCATTCAAAGATCGCATGAAATTTTATTTAACTTTTACAGGTCCAAATTCGATTTGTGGTAAATGCCTATTTAAACATCCTAAGACAAACGACAAATTAATAAAAATGTTGAATCCCATATTCACAAAGGCAATGGGGTCGATTATTGGTATAAACGTTTGTGTTGAGTAGACATAGATCAAAATTTCCACGAGGAGTGTTTAACATAAAAAGAAATTTTATGCCATAAATTATAGAAAAACACCTTGGTATTCAGGAACGAAAAGCTAATTTAACGATAATTCAAATTTATTTCAAGGAATAGGGAAAGTAGGGAAGACCCTACCACATTGACTAAATGAAAAATGCAATGCCAGTTGTTAAGCCTATCAAGAAATGTACCTTTGCGATTCAAGAACAATTTAAAAAACACTGTGAACGAATTGGTAAATTTAAAAATAATCGAACGAGTTGAAAGGAAAGTATGTAAATTTCCTACGTCATTGTAAGGAAAATAAACGGTTCCTAGAATTTGCCTTGAACCAAAAACTAAATGAGTCCAATCAAAAAGATTCAAAATAATAAATTAACAAAGTTTAGACGACATAAATTTCAAAACATTAAGTGGTTCCACCAGTTTTAACACTACTAGATGCTACAAGTGGTTTTTGGAATATACCCTGATAAAGGAGTCAAGTAAACTAATGCACATTTTGGCAAACGCCTTTTGGCAGGTAAAGTTTTTTAAGAAATGCCTTTCGGGTATAAAAACCAAGCTAAGTGAAGTATTTCAGGAACGATTCCAAGAATATCGCGGAATAACGGAGTGGCAGGTATTAACATTGATGTACGAAAAATTTGATAAATATAATTTGGTATTTGACATTACGGTCTGTACGTCCGGCATCACTTCCGGTTCAACCGGAATTTTTCAACAAAGTCTATGCTCTTTTTAAGATCTTTAAAAACATCAACTAATTTGCAGTATGACAACATATACATATTTATAAAACTTTGGAAATCTAGCATGCCCTCTGCTGTCAGGATGTGCATTGTGCGGTGAGACAATAGACACCGCGCATCCTGACAGCACACGGTATGCCAGATTTCATAAGTTTTGTAAATATTATATATATCACGAATTCCTCCATTTTGTTGTATATCAATCACATGAGATATTGATATTATCTCGAACACACTGTATATGAAGAATCTTAAGTATAAAAGCACTTAAAACAATATTTATGGAGAGTTAAACAAAACGAAAACCGATGTGTCAAAAGTAAGTCACAGTTAATGTTATCCAATACAGTACAAAAACCAACGAAAAACATATGGGCGTCTAGTTGGGTACCATAGGTACAAATTTTCCAATTTTTTAGAGTTACAATGAAACTTTTTCATTTAATTAATCTAGTGTCATCAGTCATCAGAGAACCACAAACGTTTATTGCCAAAAATAAGGGCGATATATAAATTTAAATCTTAAATGTGGTCAATTGACCCGTTCTGGGGCTTCTAGTGTTAAACAGTCGCGTAATCGTACGTGAGGGTTTTATTGCAAAAGTTGAAATTAATTGCCGCATTACAAACGAAAACTGTGCCGTCATTTCGTCGAAATTATTATCGTGTGTGCTTTTAACGTTAAAAAAGAAGATTTTAACGAGGTAGTTATATATCAAACAAAATGTTGCTGTGGATCTGTACTATTTATCGTTGGATTTTTGAAAAATTTGCTTTGAAATAATACCTGAAAATAGCTGTTTCAATGCGTTATTCTACCGCGTGTTTAGGTTAATTGTTATTTACATAAAAGTCAGGAAAATGACACATTACTGGCGAGGAAATATTGTACGAGGCCTCTTTGGGACCGTCAGGTAAGGTCATTTTACTGACGAGTTTTATATTACATTTTACACGAAATCGTACTTTAATATAAAATTTCAATTTTTATATATAACTTGATTAATGTCAATCTGTCAGTGATGACAGGAGTCATTGTAGACATTTAGAAATGACATAAATGAGGCCGGTAAAGTGACAGGTGCGGCCAGTAAAGTGACAAGCGGCAGGAAACGTCTGCTCTACCTCTGTCATGGAAACTAAAATTTCCTGACAGAAAGTAGGCATGAAAATAAAGGTAAACAAATTACAAAGAATCCTTTGATTGATGTAAACTATTGTAACGGATAACCGGTATGCAGTTTCAAATTCGGATTTTGTTCATAGGAAAATTTGCACATGTACCGCTTCATAGTAAACTTGAACGAAAGTATGTCGGGAGATAATAACATAATAACATGCTGTTTTTAGTACATAAGCGCGGTGAACGAAGATGTCTTGTTCTTATGAACCTAATTAATTCACATTTCTGGTCAGTTTGTGCTCACAATTTGGGTATAGTGCTTTAGAGAGAAAACAGAATCGTACGAATAACGTTTCTTTTATTAATTAATAACAACAAAACGTACGTTCAATAAAACTTAAACGTATTAATGATGGACGGCAATAATTTCTTCTTTACCGGAGCTTCACCGCGACAATCGGCAAGACTCTGTTCCAATTCGGTAATCTTGTCCTTCTGTCCTTGCAGTTGAATTTTAACGCTCGCAATTTCCTCCGCGTGTTTTCTATGCATGTTCGCAACGTGCGCGTTTGCCTCACGAAGCTTGTCGTTGGTGTGGCTCTTCAGTTTGTCATACCTCTGTTGCAGCACTTCGATGTTGCCGACTTGCTCGGTGACCCTATCCACCAAAACGGCCTGGTTCGCTTGGTACCCGGCCAGAATCGTTTTGAGTCGCTCGTACTTCGTCACCAAATCGGCAAATCCGGTCTCGAGACAGGCCAAGTGGTCGCATATAACGTTCCTCTGCGCCATAACGGTTTCGTGCTTGGTCATGATGTCGTGTATAAATTTGTTGTACTTCACGAGTATCTCATCGTCCCGTTTTTCCCGCAGCGATTTTTGGAGGGATCCCTCAAGCTCGACGATATGGGCCTCCATCTCTTGAATTCTCTCGCAGTTATTCTGTATTATGACATCCTTTTCTTTGATGATCTCGTCCATTTTCCCCAACTCGGTATTAACCGTCTTTAGCGAAAACATCGACCTATTATTCATCAAATCTGACTCTTGAATTATCTACGGGAACCCTCTCTTAGTCGCCCTGCAGAAGATCAAGCAATATACTTACGCGTATTATTGACATTTTGCTTTTCGAAATCTAAACTGAAAAATATGGCGCGTGCTAACTGGATCTTTTTTTTAGTTTATTCAGTACAACGGGTTGTTTGATGGCAGTCTCGAGTGGATCGGTGTGAGAAATATTACCATTGCTTGCTCGGCAACCGCCATCAATAATCTATCTATCAGATTCACTTCATCGGTACACGTCTTTAATATTAGGTAAGAGCTTTGCTTTTGGCGCCTTCTGAGTACGCTATTTCAGCCCACCGGAGCAAGAAAGTATCAACGCCATATACTCGCTGTACTTGCCCTTAATTGTAAAGCAACAAAAGTGGTCTACCAATAAGCTGATGAAGATTGTAATGATGATGACCACAGTGTACAACGAGGTTCGCTTTGGTGGCCCACTTAACGGCTCATAACCTTGGAATTTTGCAGGTCGTCAAGCAGTTTAATCTCGTTGAAGGTCACTACGATTTCAGTTTAAACGAGCTGACAAGGTGGTGTCGGGGGATTCTGATGTATAAAGAGGGGGACAAAGACGCGGAGGAGTATCTGCTCGAAATTGTAGTCTACGAGGCCCTGCGACTGTTTCAAGACAGATTAGTGAACGAAAACCATCGCGCCCAATTCGAGGACATCCTGAGGGAGCAATTAAAGATGCAATGGAATAAGGCGGGCTTGTTGCAAGACTGTAAGCGGCACGTATTTGTTCCAGTTCCGAAGGTGGTCGCCTCTCCTCACGTCTCACTGCTTCACAAGCAAGGTGTTGAGGAGTGGACGGACGTTGTCAAAAAAGGAATCGTCCAGTACGGTGAGTGAGTCCCGCTTTTAGACGCATTCGTCTGATTCCTTCGCTTAAAGAACGCGAAGGTGACGTCCTGGAGGTGCTAGTCATCCCGGAATTGGTCCAACTGACCGCGAAGATCGCCAAAGCTTTAGTGGAGCCAGGTGGGAATGTTTTACTGATTGGTGTCGCTGGTGTAGGTAGAAAGCCTTCAGTGAAGATCATATCGGCGCTGCTTTCGGTAAAGCTCGTGGCGCCAATCTTTTCCAATTATCCCCAGTTTAATAACGAGTTGAAAATGGTTGGTATCTTGCATTGCTTCCAGAATAATACCAGTTTTCTAGGCAATTCAACACGCAGCCGTCGAAGGCGAAGAGACCTTCTTGCTGCTGGAAGACAGCAATTTAAACGACAAGCGGGTCGTTGACACAGTAAGCGCGATGCTGTGCTCTGGAGAGGTTCCCGGACTGTACACCTTCGCAGAATTGGAATCGCTAGCAGCAGGTCTAAAAGACGAAGCTGGACGGGCTAGTTACGATGGAAGCCTAATCGATTTCTTTACCGAGCGTAAGTGAATCTCGTCGCGCAACTTTCGCCAATTTCCAAACTCTAGGTATCAAGAAGAAGCTGCATCTGGTGATCTGCATCGAAAGCAATAACACCAAGTTTTCTGAGCTACTTTCAAACTGCCCGGCGCTCTACACCCATTGCAATGTCATTTGGACGTCAGAATGGGGCAAAGACACACTGGAGAGCATCCCAAGCATGCTAATTGAAAGGTTGCGCCCACATTATTAGCGTTCAAAATCAACTTCAATTTTTTCAGCGAAAACAAGAGTAAAATTAAGAAAGCCACCGTCGACCTGGTGGACGGCTTCTTCGAGATTCACGGCATGGTCAAGCAAAGCATTGCGATTCCGTCGCGGTTCATTTCGTTCGTCAAAACCTACATCGAGGTGTTTTCGGATAAAGTAAACGTGATCTCCGAAAGGCAGGGAAAGTTGCAGGTGAGTTTCAATTTCTGCCGACAGCTGACGATGAGCGATGCTTTCAGGCCGGGGTGACCAAACTGACAGACGCGAAGAACGTGGTGGACGAATTAAAGCTGAAGGCGAAAGAGCAGCAGGATAAGTTGTCGCAGAAACAGGAGAAGGCAAACGCGGCACTTGAGATGATCAGTAGTACGATGAAGAACGCCAACACGCAAAAGCACGAAATGGAGAAGCTGAAACAGCACACCGAGAAGGAAAGTGTTTTTCTAGCTAAAAGGTAAGCTACTCTGAATAGCGTGCGTCTGAATAACGAATTGTAGAAAAGAGGAGATCGAGGAGGAACTGTCCGAAGTGAAACCTTTGATCGATGCCGCCCGTACAGCCGTGGGAAACATCAAGACCGAATCGCTTTCAGAAATTCGTTCGCTTCGAGCGCCACCTGACATAATCCGTGATATTTTAGAAGGCGTTTTGAGGTTGATGGGTACTCAAGATACGTCTTGGAACAGTATGAAAAACTTCTTGTCCAAGCGAGGAGTTAAGGAGGATATTAGGTGCGAATTTTAGGCCCAAATTTTGGTATGTTCTTTAATTGGTCCAACAAAAATTTGTTGCTAACCCCAAATTTCCACAGCAGTGTGGGTAGAGGAATTTTTGGGTCTATTTGAGAATTATTTAGCAGATGTTTGATAAGGGGACTTTATCAAAGTAGAATTTAATTGATTTAAGTAAGCGATGGCACAGGTGCACAGTTGTAGGTATGTTGTTGCGATATAAATAAGTTATCGCACTTCGTCGACCCTTACCGAAGATGAAAAATTGTGATGGGGATGGTCGGGACTTAAAAAAAAAGATGGCGTACCGATCTAGCGGGCCGATCTCGGCTTATTTGACTTAGCCTGCGTAACAGTCCGTTGCGTGTAAATTCAAATACCGAAGAAGAAGTCATACAGGATTGCTGTCCAAATTTAATTTTTATGCAATTAAACGTGAGACAATTCAGGGAAACGCGAAATTTTTGGAATTTAAATTCAGAGTACTACAATTCTACATGTTTTTCTCGAAGTTTTGCAGTTACTTTCCAATTTAGCTTTTGAAGAACAAGAGCTTAGAGTAGAGATGAGGTGGCAACCACCCTCGGGGCCCTTTGGCATGATATAGATTTTAATCCTTAGAGAATCTGGTCTATAACTTTTGATTGAGAAGTCTGATCGAAAAAGTACGATTTTGGTGTAGTGGATTTTTGATAAAAAAGGAAGGTTATACTATGCCTTTTTTTTGGGCCGAAGAAAAAATTGCCTCAGATCGACCCGGGAAAAAATTTTCTTATAGAATGTGGCCTGTGGAATCTATAATTTCAAACAGTTCCAAGATTGGACTACTGGTTCAAAAGTTACGGCCCTTTGAATTTTCTTTGGAAATTGGTTTTCAGTCTATTACTTTTGATTGAGAAGTCTGATCGAAAAAGTACGAATTGTTTTGGATTCTACGCATCAAAATTAATAAGAAAAAGTGTTTTCCCGAGAAATTTTGGTGCAGTCGATTTTTGGTAAAAAAGGAAGGTTATACACTGCCTTTTTTTGAGTCCCGAAAGAAAAATTGTCTCAGATCGACCCGGAAAAAGATTTTTTTATAGAATGTGGCCCGTAGAATCCATAATTTCAAACAGTTCAAAGATTGGGCTACTAGTTCAAAAGTTACAGCCCTTTGAATTTTCTTTCGAAATTGGTTTCTAGTCCATAACTTTTGATTGAGAAGTTCGATCGAAAAAGTACGAATTGTTTTGGATTCTACGCACCAAAATTAATAAGAAAAAGTGTTTTCCCGAGAAATTTTGGTGCAGTCGATTTTTGGTAAAAAAGGAAGGTTATACATGCCTTTTTTTGAGCCCCGAAAAAAAAATTGTCTCAGATCGACCCGGAAAAAAAATTTTCTTATAGAATGTGGCCTGTAGAATCAATAATTTCAAACAGTTCCAAGATTGGGCTACTAGTTCAAAAGTTACAGCCCTTTGAATTTTTTTTCGAAATTGGTTTCTAGTCCATAACTTTTGAATGAGAAGTCTGATCGAAAAAGTACGAATTGTTTTGGATTCTACGCACCAAAATTAATAAGAAAAAGTGTTTTCCCGATAGATTTTGGTGTAGTGGATTTTTGATAAAAAAGGAAGGTTATACTATGCCTTTTTTTTGGGCCGAAGAAAAAATTGTCTCAGATCGACCCGGAAAAAAAATTTTCTTATAGAATGTGGCCTGTGGAATCTATAATTTCAAACAGTTCCAAGATTGGACTACTGGTTCAAAAGTTACGGCCCTTTGAATTTTCTTTGGAAATTGGTTTTCAGTCTATAACTTTTGATTGAGAAGTCTGATCGAAAAAGTACGAATTGTTTTGGATTCTACGCACCAAAATTAATAAGAAAAAGTGTTTTCCCGATAGATTTTGGTGTAGTGGATTTTTGATAAAAAAGGAAGGTTATACTATGCCTTTTTTTGGGCCGAAGAAAAAATTGTCTCAGATCGACCCGGAAAAAAAATTTTCTTATAGAATGTGGCCTGTAGAATCCATAATTTCAAACAGTTCCAAGATTGGGCTACTAGTTCAAAAGTTACAGCCCTTTGAATTTTCTTTCGAAATTGGTTTCCAGTCTATAACTTTTGATTGAGAAGTCTGATCGAAAAAGTACGAATTGTTTTGGATTCTACGCACCAAAATTAATAAGAAAAAGTGTTTTCCCGATAGATTTTGGTGTAGTGGATTTTTGATAAAAAAGGAAGGTTATACTATGCCTTTTTTTTGGGCCGAAGAAAAAATTGTCTCAGATCGACCCGGAAAAAAAATTTTCTTATAGAATGTGGCCTGTAGAATCTATAATTTCAAACAGTTCCAAGATTGGGCTACTAGTTCAAAAGTTACGGCCCTTTTAATTTTCTTTCTAAATTGGTTTCTTTAGGCTATTCCCTACCTAGTATCAAAGTTAGTCCATTTTGAAATAAAATGTCAGGTCAAAACCTTCATTTCCTGGACTATAAAAAACAACATAGCAAAATTTGAGAAGCTTGGGAACCTTCCTCGCGATTTCCCGACTGGACTATTTCATTTGTTTATAATTGAATCGGCGACTGTTCTACTTTTAGGTCATTCGATGCGTCGAGAATTACGAGTGAAAACAGGGAGGCAGTTTCGAGGCTGTTAGCGAATAGGAAAGATTCGTTTGATCCGAAAAATGCGAAAAGGGCGTCTGTGGCGGCCGCTCCGTTGGCAGCTTGGGTAACGGCAAACGTGCGTTACTCGACCGTTATTGAGAACATTAAGCCCCTTGAAAGGGAACAGAATAAGCTTAAACAGTAAGTAACCGTTCAAATTCAAAATAACATTAATTTTCGCTACCTGTTACGATTAATACAAAAGACCTTTCCGTAAGGGAATTCACAATGATTCTTGAGCTGGATGTTTGTCGGCGAACCCGTAAAGGCTCGATTTCGCTGTACCATGGATATCTTCCTGCATCGTCGGCTGAAAAAAATTTCCTTAAAATTTGTAGACTCCGGGGAAAATTTTGAAAATAACGAAACGTTGGGGGTTTTTAAATTATGATTCTTTTCAGGAATTTAGCCACTGCCGAGCTTCAACTGACTGAGCTCAGTAGCGGACTAATGGACGTAGACACCGCGGTTGCCAAGCTCAAAAATCAACTTTCCACATACACAAAGGAAGCGGCCGAAATCGAGATAAACTTAAACGCAGCCAGAGACACTTTAAATTCGGCGGAAGGTCTGATCAACAAGCTGAACGACGAATATGAACGATGGAAGATACAGGTTGGACACCCAATTATTATCCCTACGACATTTTGAGCCTTTTCAGTTGAAGGAGTTTTCGGACGAGCTGAAAATGTTGCCCACCAATTCCCTCTTGGCCTCGGCGTTCATCACTTACCTTCCGGGAGAATCGGAGGATAGCAGAATGTAAAATTAACTCAGTGCGCTTCGTATACTTACAGCTTTTTTAGAGTCATACTGGAAAAATGGCAAGAGGTCTTGGGCGCTACCAAATTTTCTTTGGAGGAATTTCTCGGTTCGGAGAGGGAGCAGCTGCAGTGGCAAACCGAGGGCTTACCCGCTGACCAATTGTCCTTGCAAAACGCTGTTATAATCCTCAATGTGAGTTAGGCGCCCCCCCCCCCCAAGTTTAATTAATGTTTCCAGACGAGTGTAACGCCGCTCTTCCTCGATCCCTCGTCGATCGCTTCGGATTGGATCAAGGCGCATCTCAAATCCAAAACGGTCGAAATCGTATCTCAAGATTCTCCAAAGTTTAACACTGTACTAGAGCTAGCGATCAGGTTATTTGCACTGCTGTTTGCTGGACTAGTTACTAGATTTCCTTACAGATTTGGTAAATTTCTGATCATCGAGGAAGTTGAGACGATCTCTCCGACCTTATTTCCAATACTAAGAAAGCAGTTTGTCGACCAAGGTGATAGAAAATCGGTTCATCTCAATGGAAAACTAGTCGATTATCACAACGACTTCAAGCTGATTCTTTCTTGTCGCAACGCTCAATTGCAGCTTTCGGCCGATCTGGCTGCCGTGGTGAATGTTGTCAATTTTACGACAACCCACGCGGGACTCTCAGGTATTTACTGCAATCTGTAATGCGATTACTTACGCAACTGTTCTAGAGCAACTACTAATGAGCGCAATAAAGCAAGACAGTCCCGAACTGGAAACGCGTCGCAAAGATTTGCTGCGCCAAAGAGAGGAGCTACAGGAGAAGCAGTACAATTTACAAAATCGGCTCTTGGAGGATCTGGCCAATGCGTCCGGTGACATTTTGCAAAATAAGAACCTTATGGTTTCACTGAACGAAACCAAGGCGAGCTCCAGCGCAATTGCCACCGCCCTGGTCGAATCCGAAGGTCTGCATCGAAAACTGCAGGAAGAGTATGATGTGTACAAAGAGATTGCCTCGTTTGCTAGTGCGCTTTATTTCGCCATTGACGAGTTTGCTAATGCAAACGTGCTGTATTCCCTATCAGTTCCCGCTTTCATTCGACTATTTTTGAAATCTCTCCCCCAACTTAAGGTAAGCTCTTATTGTCAACAATTCGGGTAAGTGCCAAGATTTTATTAGGACCAAGTAGTGCCATTGTTGGCAAGGTTGACGTATTCAGCATGCATAATTGACATAGGTTAAGGAAAGAAAATCTGTGATATAAATAGCATGTAGACGCTTACAATAAATTTTATCAGTTAACAATCTTCGAACTGTCGGTAACGTACCGGGTTTGAGTTATAAGATCATCCCCGGCCGAGTTTAAGTTTTGTTGGGTGAGCATTAGGATTTACATCCCTAACGCTCCATTTGGTTCTTCGAGCCGGATGCCGCATTTGGTCCTTCGAGCCTTTAAATGAATTGGTGCCGCGTTACGTTTATGTTCCGGTTCCAGGAAGTGCCGCGTTACCTCAAGGGTTTCGGTCCCGGTGAAGTGCTACATTTAGAAGTGAGTTTGTACAAACCATACGGAAAGTTGCTAAAAAATATCTCAAAAAACCAAGGAAAGCTCGACCCGGATAGATTTGAGTTCTTAGTCTGAAAGAACCCAGCAGGCTCGGGTAGCTTGGGCGGGCCTCTTTCGTACTACTAGAAAGTAATTTATTGATAGTATTTATTTATTCACTAGTGCCTAATATTACTTACAGTTAATAATTTTTAGGACCAAAGCTTCGGTTTCGTACAAAGAACTCTGATCCAAGCGGTATACGGCTACATGAGCAGGGCGATCTTTAAGGCCGACAGACTGAAGTTTGCTCTCCATTTGTGCCACAAAATACTGCCTCGTGAAATTCCATCCGATGTAAGTGAAGTCTCCTAAAAATGTGTACCTGATGATGATATTTATTAAGAAGTAGACATAGGGATTTGCGTGTGTGTTTCCCTATGTCTACTTTTAAAAGACAAAAACTCTTCTGAAAAGCGCCTAATTTTATGCATCTAGAATCACTTTTTAAAACTAAAAAACATCTGGGTGTGTTTTAGTTTAATAAATAAATCTTTTACGCTCCTTAAACTGATTCCGGTACTATACCAATTGACAATATCAACCTCTTCTTCGCACATGAACGAAAATAAAAATGCGAACGCAGAGCAACAATATTTTAATTAATTAATGTGAGCCAGATTAGTTTTAAGAAGTCTGGTTGCATAAAATTAGGCGCCGTTCAGAAGAGATTTTGTTATTTAAAAGTAGACATGAAATAGCACTGTTTAAGTCAAATTTGGCTGCTACTTTTAACTTAAAAACATAGTATCAAATACTAGGCAACATGCTCTTTTTCTTTACAGGAGTGGAACTTTTTCATTGGCAACTCTTTCATTGGCAAAATTGATAAGGGGCAAAGTGTCCCCGAGTGGATTCCCGAAAGTGTATCGCGCAATGTTGCCGCGTTGCAGGTGAGCCGAGTTTCTTAGGCGGCATTGCTTCAGTGTCAAGTTTCAGAGTGCTCTGCCGGGACTCTACAGTAAATTGCAGTTGGAGAAAGAGTCCACGTGGCGGAGCTTCTTCGGGAGTAACGAGTGCGAGGCGAACTTTCCCACGCACTGCGATCTGAGCGAGTTTCAAAAGGTAATCGTGGTTCAGGTGCTTCGAAGGAACCGCCTGTATTCGGCCATGCGCCAGTGCAGCCTGCGATTAATGAGCTTGCAGAGCTTAAACTCGGAGATCATCCAGTTTTCGGCAATCTACAATGAAACGGTTGTTGGGGAGCCAATTTTGTTGGTGACGGCCCCCGGTACTGACCCATCTGTTGAGATCAGAGAGTTTGCCAGTGAGAAACTTGGAAAGGATCAGTATGTGGAGGTATTATAATCGCTCTGCTGAGAGTTGAGTAACAAAACACGTATCGCAGATTGCCATGGGTGAGGGGCAAGAATCGAAAACATTAGCTGCACTAGCAGAGGCCGGGGAGCAAGGGCATTGGCTAGTACTGAAAAATTTGCATTTGGTCACCGCGTGGTTGCCAATCTTGTGCCAGAATATGAAGAGAATGCAATTGCACAAGTCATTTAGGTAACCCCCAACGCAACTGGTACATTTTAACTTTGGTAATTTGTAGATTATGGTTGATCACTGAACCACATCCAGGGTTCAGTTCAGTTTTGGCCCGCAGCAGCTTGAAGATTGCGTATGAAGTTCCTCAAGGAATCAAGAACAATATACTGCGGACCTACTCATCGTGGGGCACATCCTACATTGAAAAACTCAATCCAACGGGTAGCCGATTGTTCTTCATCCTCGCATGCATCCACGCTCTCCTTCAAGAGCGCCGCACCTACATTCCTCAAGGTAAACTACCCGACCTATCCAAATTGACTCATTATTCTATGTTAGGGTGGTCAAAGTCGTACGAATTTAATGACACAGACTTCTCTACCGCCATCCGTTTAACCGTCGAACTAATGCAAACACCCAACATACAAATACAGTGGAACTACCTCACTGGTGTCTGTTGCGATTCTGTCTACGGAGGGCGCATAGAAAACATACAGGATTTGGGAATCCTAGACTCGTACTTATCCCAGTACTTTGTCGACGAAGCGTTGACTCACCGTTGGAGACCCCTGGGAATGAGCAACTCCCTCCCTTCGTACTCAAACTTTCAGGTAAGGTAAGGTGGCCAATAAACGCTCGATTTTAATTCGTGGTTCCTCAGGATTATATCAATTCGATAAATCAGCTGTCCGACAGAGATTTGCCGTCCTATTTCGGTCTGCCCGAGAACATTCAGCAGGCTTGGGAGAAAACGACCTCCATGGACATCATCTCGTACTTGCGAAATCTCAACTTGGAAAAACACGCGTCCGCGGCGCTCCTGGGCGATGACTTACACAAAAAGCTGTTACCGTTTATGATGCTATGGAAGAAGTTGAATCAATCCCAAGACTTCATCAGGATTCCCACACCTACTCCAATTATACAAAAGTCTCTAATGGAGAACTTTATATCCGAAGAGTACTGTTACGCAGTCACTGTGGTGAAAAAGATTCACAAGACTTTCTCGATACTGAACAAGCTTTCAAAGGGAGCGGTTCCCATTGAGCCCAAGTATCTCGAAGTAGCCAATGATTTGCTGCTGTATCGGGTACGTGTACGTGTATCATCATGCGTATTTGACTTGTGCAATTCTAGACACCCAAAATTTGGAAAAAGCTTTGGAACGGGCCCGATGATCCAACGAAATACTTAAAAACTGTGATGTACAAAACGGGTAAAATAGCAATGTGGAACGAGTCGCGTATGGAGGCAGTCTATGAACGTCCCGTCAACTTATCTTCATTCTTTCATCCTGCCACGTTTCTATCTGTATTTAAACAAGATTTCGCACGGTAAGTTCACAATTTGGAGTACGTGGTAATGCGAAATGTCTACAGGAGGAAGAATACTGCGATGGACGACTTAAGACTGAAGTCGAGCTGGAGACATACTCCGGGCGATGGAGTTATAACAATTACAAATCTTCTCATTGAAGGTGCCCTATTTGAAGGAAGTAATATCACTGACTGCCATGCCAACTCCGATAGTATAAACGTGGCACCTGACTGTCACCTTAGTTGGGTAAACGTACGGCGTATTCATACAGTTTTGCAAAAATACTAAGTTCTTTCTTTAGGAAAACAAAGGCGAGAATGACAAGGCGATTAAGCTTCCCTTGTACGAAACCAACACTCGTGAAGATATCTTAGCGTATTTAAACGTAGAAAATAACTTCAGAGAAAATAATAAGTGGATACAAGCCGGTGTGGCGTTCTATGTTACTTGTTAAAATGTAGAATATAAATGAATAAATGTTACTTACCCTACCAGGAATTAATTTGGTAATGTGATTTTATTTCTCCTAGAGTGGTCCATATGACAAAATATAGTTAAGGGTCGTATAAGAAAAATCAAACACCCTGTATAAAAACTGTGTATCGCTATGGATTCTACATAAAAAAGTGCAAATCGACTAAATTCGAGAAAGTCCTCTAGCGGCCAAACGATTAGTGATGATTGATTTTCTCTTTAAAATTTGGCTCTAGACACCTAGGTCCATGTTTTGATATCTCTTAATAAAGCGTGTTCCCATTAGAAAGTGGACCACCCTGTACATTAGTGAGAGAGAGTACGCAAAATGGGGCGCTATCACCATTTCTGTGCATATTAACTGTAAACAGCCTCCTCTGACGCCTCAATCACAATGACGCTGTGATAAGGGGATGATAATCCATACTAATAACAGGCACATTTGAGGCTACTCACCGCAGATTGATGCAATCGACTCAGAATAACCGAAAAATGGCACTTCTTAATCATGTGCACAGACTTGCGTGCCTTGCTTGCACAAACGCAAACTCTGATAGCGGCCATGGAGGCCCTTCTGGGTCTGCCTCCACTAGATCTACATGTGACAGAGCAGACCACTCTGGCATCTTTGCGTGTGTACAATAAGCAGTTGCTGAATAGCAGAGGTGGGCCACTCTCGAATTATGGATCAGGCGATCAAGCGGTGGTCTCTAAAGGGGCGATCGAATTTCAAAAAAAAGGGCCGTAACCTTTGAACTAGTAGCCCAGCATCTTGGAACTGTTTGAAATTATGGATTCTACAGGCCACATTCAATACGAAAATTTTTTTTCCGGGTCGATCTGAGACAATTTTTCTTTCGGCCCAAAAAAAGGCATAGTATAACCTTCCTTTTTTATCAAAAATCGACTACACCAAAATTTCTCGGGAAAAAAGCTTTTTCTTATTAATTTTGGTGCGTAGAATCCAAAACAATTCGTACTTTTTCGATCAGACTTCTCAGTTCTCAATCAAAAGTTATAGACTAGAAACTTAATTCTCAGTCTTTAAAATGATCACACAGGAGCGAAATGTTTAATTTTTGAGTTTCGTGGGTTACTCCTTTGACAGCGAAAGGCACAAATCCCAAAATGTTTATAGCCTTGCCTGAGTTTTTGATTAATATTAAAATAATCAACGCAGAATTCATTGTGCTGACATCTGTTTTTATTAATGTGGACTAACATTTTATCGCTAAATGCAGGACACTTTATTACCACCATTATTTTAGTTGCTACTTACACCTCAAAGATGTCGCAACACTTATTTTATACTTAAAGTCACTAAATATATATATATATATAAATATATCTAGTGACTTTATTTATACTGTATGAAATGTTAGATGTCAGAGCGAACTTATTAAAAACCATAGACGCTTCCATAGATATATGAAGTTTTTACCTCAAATGCATAAATGAATGTTTGTTTATTTTATTTTATAGTCAAAAATTAAACTTTGTTATCATTCCTTTCGCGCTTACAGGTTTAAATTAGGGAACTGGCTACTGGGAATCACAGGAAAGCGGCAGACTCAACCTTTGCGGAATATGATACTGTTCGCTCTGGGGCGTGCAATCGAAGACATGTAGTTCTCGATGGATGAGAAACGTTAGCATTGAATTCAGACAACACAAATTGAAAAGCAAAATGCTTTGTAACCAAAACAGGAGGACACCGTGGAGAACTCGCCGAAAACCCATTCTAATGCAATTCAAACTTCTCAAGGTTAAAATCGGAACGATTACATGATTGCAGCAGCTGCCGATGGTGAGAAGCTATTCTTTAAAGAATTGAGCCTAGAGTTTATTTGATAGAACTACGGTTATAGATATATACATAAGGCAAAACTGTTACGCAGTTTGCAATCACGAAAAAATGTGTTGTTTGTGCGATCTTCGTGTGAAAGTTGTTGTAAAACGGTTTAGTTTAATGTACCTGTTATTGAAATTGTTCTTCCAAGGGCTTTAAATAAACTCCTATGCATAAGAAGTTACGAATTGCAAAAATAAATGTTTTCTGTTCATTGAGCATGATGTGTTGCCTACAAACCAGGCTACACAAATATCGAGTGCCCATATTCAAATTAGGGATTTGCTTGAATCTCCCCAATCTGCCGTTTTTATTAAAGGTAACGAGGGCCTCCACGAACGAATGGCCCAGGGCCCCGAAAAACTTAAAAACGGCACTGCATTTAATGCGACGTTGCTATTAATCGCATAAATTCAAATGAAATTTTAAAATAAGTTGCGTACGTGGCGACATCTCAACTAGACTTCTAAAACTATAATTGATAGAAAGTGTATCGATTGCCAAGGAGATGGCGCAGTAGTACTTGTTGTATTTAAATTATCTATTCAAAAACCGGGCCTTTAACCATACATTTTGAACTGCCATTTAAGGAATAATAAGAACGAGAAAATTCAAAGGGCTGTAACTTTTGAACTCGTATCCCAATCTTGGAACTGTTTGAAATTATAGATTCTACAGGCCACATTCTATAAGAAAATTTTTTTTCCGGGTCGATTTGAGACAATTTTTTTTGAGGGGCTCAAAAAAAGGCAGTGTATAACCTTCCTTTTTTCCAAAAATCGACTGCACCAAAATTTCTCGGGAAAACACTTTTTCTTATTAATTTTGGTGCGTAGAATCCAAAACAATTCGTACTTTTTCGATCAGACTTCTCAATCAAAAGTTATAGACTAGAAACCAATTTCGAAAAAAAATTCAAAGGGCTGTAACTTTTGAACTAGTATCCCAATCTTGGAACTGTTTGAAATTATAGATTCTACAGGCCACATTCTATAAGAAATTTTTTTTCCGGGTATAATTGTGTATCCAATAAGTCATACTTATGTAATGTGTGTTGCCTACTTCTATTTTGACTTCACGATGCAACATGGCGACTGGGCTCATTTTCGCTACAGTCTCTTATAGTCACTGACTAATGTAATGACACTAAAATATATTGTTTATTTGGCTCAATGGAAGCTAAATCAAAATTGCTTAAAATGTAAAATAGTCCACGAAATACTTACCTACTCAAAAAACAAAATAGAAGCTTAGAAGACGTTTTTGAGCAAACTACAATAAATAAAATGAAAAGAAATTTTGAAATGATTCCAGTTCTTTAATGAGCATTAAAACACGTACTTAACATTTAGATTTTTTCTAAATTTGCCTGTTTAACTTATTATGGCTCATAAAATCATACTTTATAATCACAATAAAATAATCAAATAGGATCTTTAATTTATCTAAATAAAAATACTTAAAAAAAAGTAACAAATTTAACTACGTTGCCGCTTGTAGGTCATTCTAAACCTAAAATCCAATTGATTCCTTGCACTATAAATAATATCATCGGCTGCCATGCAACGAGCCAACGTATCCAGTCAAGCAACTGTCCAAATAGGACGTGAGGTTTTTCCCATCTATAATGAGCTAAGGTTGACAAAGAAGTACAAACATAAAAAAAGGATACGGATTACAGAACATTCGTTTGAGGTCTACTTTCTCCTTGCAATAAGGGCAGGTTTGCTTCTTGCCCACAATGCACCAACCGCGAATGCAGAACTCGTGAAACCTACACAGCAAATGAAAGACCTGCTACGACAATAGCACGCTTACTTACGTGTGATTACATGATAATTTGTACGTATTCTCGATGATACTATCTTGAGTTTCGCCAATGATAAACGCGTTTCCACACACAGCACAGACGCCCGGATCTAAACTCCTTGTAGGCATGCCGTGATCTGTATAATACTGTTGTTAAATTAAAATTTATTTTACCATTTAGATTTACTCAGGATACTTACTCCAATGTGAGAGGCCATTTTATCGGCGCAAATTTCGGAGATGTCCCGACCCAAAACTCCATAATATAATCCGTAAAATATAAATAGCAACCCGCAATCCATCCACGTTGTTGGTTTTGCATTAAATACAATATTGAAACCAAAAAACGTGACCATCATAATACAGTACCCTATAATTCCAAGAATATAACTGAGTTTATATAATAGGAGAAACCATTTATATACTAGTCTGTAAGGTTAAACGTTCTCTTTCAGAATGCAGGCGGAAAGGGCATTACCTGGGAGTGGTTCCCTCGATCGGCTTTTGAATCGCTTTACGAACTATCAGACCCGTAATACACGAAAATAACAGCCAAATGAATATGAACCGCCACCAATGGTTTCGCAAGCACACAAACAGAGGAATTATCCACATCCCCAATAACGTAATCATCTAAAAGTGGAGGATTATCGGGCACCTCACCGGCATCGTGACCTTACAGAATACGATTTATAGAAGCGTTTTTTCCATTCGATTAGTACTAATTGGGCTATGACCAGAGTGACTATGAGAATTATGACCATTTCGGCGTGCATTTTCTCGTGACCCTCGTGCTTTTCGTGCATCTGCTGATGTTCCCACCTAAGAATTCATTTAATAAGTTAGTTCCAACGAGAGGGTCGGCTGTTTACCTCCATTTCTCCTCGAGGGTCAGCTCTTCTAGAGTCTACAATGGTTTAATCAGACATGTATCTCGTACATTAGAAGTGCTCACCCTATTGCCTAATTCAACCGGTTTATGTAAATCCATAATTAAAAAAGGGCTCTATCGATCCAAATGACTAGCCTTTATTCACTAATTTAGTAACGTAAAGGTAAATTTATGCCAATGCCATGGTTTAAAGGCAAACAATTTTCATATTTAATTTTTGACGTTTTCTGTCTGGGGTTTTTGTACCTGCAACTAAAACATAACGTGATTCCCTATCAAATGCGCGCCTTTTTTTTAAAAATTGGCGCTCTTTTCAAAAGAAATTGATTACAACTTATAACAAATATTAACTCGATTAGGTACACTAAAGTATGTGCGTTTTATTTTCAAGATGCATAGCATAGAAAAGTAGTTAACAAATCGGACGTAGTGGAAGAGTTAGGATAAGTAACCTCTCTCACTTGTGAGAGTTTCTAATATTGTAAAACATCACTGAAGAGGAAAACAATGAATATCACTGGATTCTGGTTGTCTAGTATAAAAACAGTCGCCTTTATGCTATTGTATTTTCATCGCTATCTAGCCCATGAGAAAAAAATACATACAAAAATACACTATGGAACAATTCATATGGTTTATAATAATTTACATATATTTGCATACAGATTCTTTATACAAATCTAAGTAGTAACACGATAGAAAAGAGGCCCAACTATACTGCTTTTATTAGGCCATGTTTGCAAACTTATTTGTAAAAAGGTAGGTTTTTAATCTCACTCTTTGGTCGGATGGATGGCTGGCGACATCTGGGCGCCATTCTCGAGCGTGGTTTACGAACATGGTGATTTTTCAGTTTTTTCTTATCTTCTTCTACAGTTTTCGTCCAATTTGTTTTCAAACTGATATTATCGGAAAGATAATGGAATTTTGTTTTTTCCTAGGGGCGAAATAAACCCTCTGCTTCGACGGGTAGTAGACTTCGGGTCGGTGCGAACTTTGTCACCCGGTTTATTAAAGCAGTCTCTCTTTTTTGTATCGCCAAAAGAGGACCGTGCTATGAGAAGTGTCCGAGAAATTCAGTAGGTACTATTTTCTGGAGGGTTTTAAGCAATGGCGCATCATATGATCGTGGGGGCGTCAGAAGTGGGTACCGACAAAGCAAATCTATGGTAGCCCTTGACAAGATCTTACTGGTAGAGAATTCAAACGCGACATGCGATATCGGCGAAGATTTAATTTAGGCGCAATCATAAAACGCGGATTTCAAATTTCAAAAGTACGACGCATGCGCTTCTGAGAAGAATTACATTTAGTTTTAAATTAATAGTGTCTTTCGTTCCTTGTTGTTGGTGATGACACTATGGTTACGAAACACATCCTCATTGGCTGATTTATATTTACTGTCCCTGTCTGCTTTTTCAAATATTTGTTAATTTTTATAGTTTATTTCTTTACAAATGTATGCATTATAAATTATGTAAATGTAGCATAAGTAGTATAATTATGTAAAAATAAAAAATGTAGCACTTATTTTTATTCAACTGGTCGTATTCTGACATCCCTTAAGCAATATAGCGCGTGCTGCAACTTTGGCGCGAAGAAAGGCTTAAGTTTAAATAAAATATGAATTCGTGCGTACAAAAATAAATTTCGAGGGCTCCTGTTAACAATTGTGTTAGATGGTAGAGTAGTGTACTTGTAAGCGCCGTTTAACCGCCATCAGGTCGTCAGATTCCCACCCAGATGGCAGCCTTGAGGAGCCTAGGAAAGAAGTCTTTTCCTGCACTACCGTTAGGTAGTAGGTACAGCCTGGGAGGTTGCCAACCACCTCCTTCGACCACTAAAGGGGATGATAGTTTTTGCACGAAGCGTTTCAGGGTTTAGTTATTAGTGAGATTAGGTTTATAGAGTATTTAGCTGAGAAATCTTGTATCAGGAGAACATAATGTGAGAGGAGGTGATCAAAAGTTAGGATAAAGTACGAGTGTGGTTAGGTTAGAGTGCTCGTTAGGTTATGTGGGAAATCTTGTATCAGGAGAATATAATGTGTGAGGAGATTGAAAGTTAGGATAAAATATTAGTGAGGTTATGTTAGAGTGCTAGTTAGGTTAGGCCAGAAATCTTGTATCAGGAGAATATAATGTGCGAGGAGATTGAAGGATGGGATAAAATATTAGTGAGGTTAGGTTAGGGCGGTAGTTAGGTTAGTTAAGAAATCTTGTATCAGGAGAATATAATGTGGGAGGAGATTGAAGGATGGGATAAAATATTAGTGAGGTTAGGTTAGAGCGGTAGTTAGGTTAGTTAAGAAATCTTGTATCAGGAGAATATAATGTGCGAGAAGATTGAAGGTTGGGATAAAATATTAGTGAAGTTAGGTTAGAGCGGTACTTAGGTTAGGTCAAATTGGTTTAGGCGTCTAAAATTTTATCCTAACCTTCAATCTCCTCGCACATTATATTCTCCTGATACAAGATTTTTTACCTAACCTGACTACCACTTTTAACCTAACCTCACTAATATTTTATACTAACCTGCAATCTCTTCGCACATTATATTCTCCTGATACAAGATTTTTGACATAACCTAACTAGCACTCTAACCTAACCTCACTAATATTTTATACTAACCTGCAATCTCCTCGCACATTATATTCTCCTGATACAAGATTTTTAATTAGTGTTAATATTTAACGTAGGGCAACACCAATGGCACTTCTGCACAGCAACTTTTAATGATCTTATTAATTTTTTAATCCAACGTTTCATTTTTGCGGGATCGTTTTGCAGCAAATGCAAGTAAAATCGAAAAATTCGAGTATTTTAAAACCCAAAAAAATGTTCAGGGATTTCTAAAACTGCAACTTTTTCCTATTTAACCAAATATGTATCTCTTACCCTTTCTACAATGCCCACGGTGGCCCTTTATCTCGGACACAATGTATCCCATTTGTATATATGTTTCGCACTCTCTATATGTGTGTTCTCTTTAACCTGCAGCTTGCCATATAGCTGCCTCTGTTGCACCCACATGATAGTAATAGAGTTTTTTCTTTACAATTATACACTGTTCCATTATTTCACTTGGGACTTGTTTATCTGTGCCCCTATCAATCAAATAATATAAAAGTAGATTACCAATGTATGTTCTAGACCAGGAAGTGACGTCACACCAATCAGAAACGAGGTCGTGACGTCACAACCAATCAGAGAAGAGCACGCCCTGCTACGCCCCTCTCTTGCAGGTTCGTAAAGCGATCCAATAGCTTTTTCAACTGGTCCAACAGGTTCGTGAAGCGGTCAACATATTTTAGAACCGGTACTAGTTCACACGGCTGTTGAACCGAGTGGAAAAGCTGTTGGTACCGCTTTACGAATCTTCGCTGACGCGACTATGGTCACCAAAGGCTCGTTGCGCCAAAGCGGCACCTACATGGGTCGAGAACTGCACTCCAAGCATGCCGTACTCACCGAGCGCAAATAAGATACTTATATTCGCCATGACACAATCCAATTAAAAGAGAGTGAAATGTTATGAGTGAAATAGTAACACAGGTTCTGGCTCACTTTGACCTTGAGTTCTGCGCATGCGCCAATTCCAAGATTAAACTACTGAAGGTCATCGTGGTTGTTGTCTAAACGAACAGATCTGTTTAACAAATACAGGTCTGTTCATAAGAAACATGATTGATGATAAGTTTATTGTAGCAAATGAGTTACTCACCTATACCTACTGCAATCTTGGAATTTTTTAAAGTTTTGTTTTATGAATTTTTGTATTGGTTCTGAAAGTAACCTGTAAAAAAGCAAACAAAAGATGAATACCTTCCTTTGTATTTAGTAAACGGTATATCATTGAATAGAACAAAATATATTTACATATTAAAAAACAATATACAGAATAAATTTATATACCTATACATTACATAAAACGTAATAATAAATCGCCCACAATTATGTTCATAATTTATAATTGTTACCGGTGCTGGCTGCGAACAACCACACAACAATTGCACATACAATATTGATTATCAATTAAAATATATATAATTATATACGATACAAAGTATTGCTTTCTTTGTTAGTCACATTTTTGAAAAAATATCACTTTTCCACGTTGGCAAAATGCCTGCCCCAACTTATTCTTTTTTTTCTCGTTAAAATGATCAAACGATAATTCACATATATGATAATTAGTTAAATCTATCGAAGGTCATTTATCATTACAACAGCTGTACCTATTTGATTATAGTATGAGTAAACTATCGCAAAGAAATAATTACATATTATTATGTATTACCGGCAAATAGACAGTTAAAGTGAAGTGTACGTACGTTTTCCATGTATACAATATATATCTAAAGTACGCTATTCTAATGATCAATGGACCTATACAATACATTCGTTACGGCCCAGTTTTCTAGTGTTTGGAAGGTAGCGGTAGACAAGCACCAGGATAAAATCGACAAACATAAAAAATTATCGTTACATATTTACACGTAGTACGGATTATCTATTTACTGTTACTCTATTCTCTTTAGTTCAGAAGTATTCGACATCACAAATAATTGTGGAATAAGCGAAATAAAACACACACGGACGCAGACTCATACTTTTTTCAGTTCATTAATATCTGCACTATTTATCATATAAAAAGCTGCTTATTTACAGTTCTTATTGCCTTATGTTAAATTTACTATACTTTATACAATAGAAGAATTCTCGGAAATATACAGAAGATCACTCTTAGTGGTTCATTTTACTCGTACACCCTGTGTAAGAATATTCATCAGTTCACGCTCTCATAGGCCTTCTCGCGTTTTTCGTGACCCCGTCACGTCGTATGGACTATTTATTCATTGTTGTTATCAAAATAACCTCGTTTTGGGTTTTATTAAAAATACGTTATTTATTTAAAAATAATTCTGCATTTAGAGGTTGTAAGAACGACTAGGATTTTATTATTACTTAGTTGATGTTCACTTATGGCACATTAAAAATATTTGTGACGTACTTTAGTTAATTACACCGTCGAATAGCTACTAAAGACTTCCTTCAATCACGACTCGTGCCGGTGTATTCTCGACTTTCTCGGCCCACTTTTTCGGCGTTTTCGCTTAGTGTCTCTTTGGAAGGCGACGTTGCCAGGGTCGTCGGCTAGCTGTGGGTATTTGTGAACGCTGTGTATGTCGACGCCCTCGTAGCCATCCACGTCACCGTGCGATATCAGTTCTTCCTTTTCTTCTTCGGTCCAGTCGCCGCGCCCTTGGAAACCGGCGGCCACCAATTGTTTCTCCACCTCCCAAGCTCGTTCGACCGCTCGTTTATGGGCGTGTTTCAGAATCCTATGTCGTTCCTGATCGGGATCGGCGCCGTACTTAATGATCACCACCGCGTCGGGATTGTGCAGCCTCAACTCCTTCCCTCCAGACGTTCCGTGATCGGACGTCTCGTGCGTCGTAACATTAAACATTCCGCCCAGTCGCTTCAGTTCGTCCAAGTCGTCCCTGATCTTCAGCACGTTGTCTTTAACGAAATAGAATACGTCCTGATCGTGAATGCTAAAGTGCAGCTCCAAAAAGAAGGAGTTATTGAAGACCGAGGTCACTACGTCTTGTACCACACCGTTTACGCCCTCAACGACACTTACAAGCGCACGTCCGCTCACTCGCGATATTAAAACACCTTCGCCGAACACCGACTTTCGATACGCCACCCTTGGAAGTAGGTTTCTCGTTTTCGGCTCCATCTTCAAAAGCGGTTTGGGAACGAAACCGAAATCGCCAAACTTCTCGTTGATCTGCAACATAAAGGGTTTTGTCACACATTTTACCCTCATATAAGTAGGTATTCGCTTGTTCAGTTGTTTTTCTTTTGTCTTAAACAAGGAGATGATGTGCAAACAGAGTAAGTAAAGAGTTGTTGAACATTTAGGTAACAAGATCGGACAGTCTATGAAAACAAAGTGAGACCCTATCACCCTACACACATTGAAACACAACACACGAATCATGGTATGAGTAAGTGGATGTCAATTGTTCCTCACTGTTGGGAGAACAAATGAGAAATAAGTAACAAAGGCCATAAATAAAACCCTCCAAAAATCGTTCAACGTCATAGGAGTTGGCAGAATGCACTCCAATAGCACGTTCAAAATGTTACAAACGACCGTCGCGAACCAGCCACGTTTTTTCGTTGATTCCAGTTTTTAACGAAACACCATTTCTACTATTAAAAAAATCTTTCAAATAAATCCACCCATCACAATTAAGGCCTAATCACACAAGTCGGTTTTCACCGAGTCGACCGACGACTCGGCACCCTCCTGTTATAACACACACGTGGCGGTAAACAATTCGGCTCAGAAAATATAAAAATTGCAATGTTGTCACTAATTAGTATCAAAATTGAACTTATGCGATTCAAAGGAAGAATTAGTTTTGTATAATCATTATTTTTCAAATGCCATAAACCATTAGGTCATTCTTGAATTGCATTTATCAAGAATTCAATATTTATTTATTTATTTATTTATTATCCCTCTCTTGTTCTGTGCCCTCAACAGGCTCGGGCCCAATTACGTAGGTACAGAGTGACTAGCATAATGCTTTTTAGAGGTGCATCTGCAGAAGGTCTTCATTTGTTAATATACAGGATGTCCCATCATAATTTTTATTATGGTCATACTTTAAACGAACAAAACGCGTTGTAGTCGCTTCTAAAATGACCACAACGCGTTGTCATAAGTTAACGACCATAACACATAAAAATATATAATTTCGGTGTTTGGTCATTTAGCTTCGGCCATAACGCGTTGTGTGCGTTATTTTCGCTCATTGAGCGTTTTCGATATTTGTGCGTAACACGTATCATCTTCTAAGAATAAATGGATAATATTTTTTTTAAGTTTATTCTCAGAATATTTGAGATTATCCCATTTGCATATCCCTTAGTATACCTTACAAAGGCACGTATACAGGCTGTTTCACGCAAACCGTTACCTAAAAGTATTTGGGCTTCCATTAATCATTTAAATCTGAAAATTTGCATACCAACATAGTTTTTTATGATCTATCGAAGTAAAATATTATCATGATCATTTCACTTCCGATGGATAGCAACTTTCTCATTGTAAACAGAACACCCTATATTTTATTGCATTTTCGAAATTTACATAAAAATCTACGTCTACCACATTTGCATATACCTAGCATCAAAGGTTTTCAAGATTTTTCAAAATGTTTGACGCTTGACTGCTTTTCTTTAGCGCCCGGTACCTATGGTTCCCTTGACTTGAATTTCAAAAGGTCTTCCGATTTAAATGTTGATGGCCCTTCTACAGGGTGTTTTAAAATGAATGGTCAAGTTTAATGACTTCAAACCTTAAAAAGTTGATTTTTGCAAATGAAATCTGCATTATTTTTTTGCACTTTCAATGTGTACAAAAATTCCACATCGATCAATTATTACATTATATTACTTATTGTTATATTATATTATTATATAGGATTATAAATATTACATATATTAAAGGGAGTCTGAATACTTTTAGGCAACGGTTTGCGTGAAACAGCCTGTATAGTGTATATTCTAGATATATTTAATACATGTTCAAATACCTATACCTTTTTGAATATTCTTCGTATGTTATATGGGGTTAAACTTCTGTATAGTGTAGAGCGTACTCTATATTCTATGATCAGCCATCGCAAATTGTGCAATTATATTACAAGGAAGTTCTTTTAGTCCAAGAAACGAAACGTAAAATAGAATAAAACCTGGGGCCTATTCCATAGAGCAACTTTGCAACTTTTCACTTGTCACTTTGCAATTTTCTGATAATATTTGGATCCATAAAGGCTATTTTGGCACGTGATAACACTCAAAATATGTAAAGTGGAGATGAATAACACCCAAAATGATAATAATTTTTGCACGTTAAAATTATGAAATTGCAAAGTGACAAGCTATTGCTTTATGAAATACGCTCCTGGTAACTTTTTCAATATGAATCGATTTGCATGGAAATTTGGGATTAAGTTCAACTTACCTTCCACTTCAAAATTTTCAAAATCCCCTTTTTGCCAAAATCCGGAGGTAAAACTACATATTAAACCTCACGGCGATGAGTAAAATTTGGTTCAGATGAGTTAGAGGCTGGAACATTATTTCAGAATATTTCAACCCTTATAGGTACTGTGGTTTAATAAAGAAAAAGCATCAAAAGCCTCAAAAAGTTAATAATCTATTATTGACACTATTTCGAACAAAATATGGTGTTCAACCTCCTGATGTTGTATCAAACGTTGATGTATAAACATTAAACAGTTAGAAGGAGTACTTAAAGAGGCAAAACAAAAGGTAGTGCTCGTATGACCAGCATAATTACAAAAGGACAATTTGTATTCGGAATCCGCTACAATACCCACGCTGTACTGGAATGCCGTTAATTTGACAAATAATCTACATGTTTTTGTCGTAGGTACAGAAAATTTCCGGCGAGGAAAATGTTTGGAATTAAAAACGCTACAATTGAATGTTCTAGCATTTTTTACGCATCTCCAGTTGTTTTGTAGTTATTTTGAAGAGAAGAACGTTTTTCACAAAATTTCAGAGATTCGTTTTCCACTAGCTTCAATTATTTCAAAATTAAGTATTCTAAACTGGTCACACTTCCAGAATGTATCAATAATACGTAGGTATAATTAGAGAAAACTGGAAAAGAGGAAGGACTAATTTTAATTAGGGTCATAATTAAGGTCGAGTTGCTTGCGCTGATTTTTTCGCTGAAACAAGAACGAATCTACCCTTATTTTCATCGTAACTCACTTAATTTTTATGCGAAAGTTTGTTTAAAAAAAAAGGTTTTTAAAAATACTTTAAAAATATTGTATTTTTCACGAAAAATGCATAGTTATTTCACTGTAAAACTTTTGAATTTAGCGTTTCTATTGATTATACAACAATTATTTTTAAAAACCATTTTCTTTGTTTTTTTAAAAGCTACTCTACAGTTTTTTTAAAAATAAAATGGATACTCTTCGAGTTTTTCGCGAATAACCAATTAAAAATTGATCTTTTCTATGAAAGACTCATACTTTCGGTCGCGAATAACTGGAGAAGTATCTTTCCAAATATGTATAGAACACCACTTTTTGCTTACAATTATTTTCTATCTATTCCTGTGTTAAAATTACAATAAAAAATTGCCACCCTCGAGATGTGGTGGCAACCACCTCCAGGGTAAAAGCGCCCTTTGGAATGATATAGATTTTGATCCGTCCCTACCTCCTGTCCAAATTTAAAGTTAATCGATTCATTTTGAAATTTCATTTCATTTCCTGGACTATGTGTGCCTTGATCCCGACGACTCGGGAGGTGCTAACCCCAGCGTATTATCTTAGAACAAATCGTAGAAACCATCCCAGCACGCTCATACATGTGCCATGCATCGTCTTATAGAGGGACGAAAATCTCCCTCCCTACTGTAATGGAACCGAATTTGCCCGCTGAAATTCGATCTAAATATTCCCAAAGCCGCCCCTGGCCGCCACGGAAGAATTCAAGATTGCGCTTTGTTTCGTTCCCGTGGAACACGTGTTTTTTTTTCTTCTCTGCCCTACATTCAAATGGGCCATAATTTACAACAACGAATAGTGGGTGCAGCTTCGACAATTACTAGGTGACGTATTCTTTACGATACTTGCATCCATCTAGTAATTACGTGATCGTGTTAGATTATTTTTCAAATTAACTGCATTCCAGTACAGCATGGATATTGTCATTTATAGCGCATTCTAAATAGAAATTGCCCTTTTATAATTATGCTGATCACACTTTGAATAAAATGCATATAACGACAAGATTCCATTATGTTTTCTACGTAAATATGTTGTTTTCCAATTTACAGTATTCCTAGGGCTGGTTTTATGCCAACCCGCAGTATGAATTCCTGACAGTGTTTTTTTTTCCTTCTCTGCCCTACATTCAAATGTGCCATAATTTACAATAAAAGTGTCAAACATAAGGCGAGACGAGGGCAATTAACAATTTTCGTCTACGATGTGCTTAAAGGGGAAATTTAGGCAGACGTATGTGTGCTTTAGGGCAGTCGTAATTTTCGAATAGTTACTGTGGTTGTTACGATTGCAATTACTATTCTTTGTCTTTACATTTATCGCATCCATCGAGTAATTTTATGACCGTGTTAGATTATTTGCCAAATTAACGACATTCCAATACAGCATGGGCATTGTCATTTGTAGCTTTGAATTGAATGCAAGATTCCATTATGCAAATGAGGGAGAAGACTTTGAGTGAATTTTTTGTCTTTGTACAGGGATTTTTGTTTTTGCGCAAAAACAACTATTTTAACTATAATATATAAAAAAACACGTACCTTTTCGACAATACACTGCAGACCCGACATGACTCCGAAATCAGGTACGAGCTGCGGTGAAGCGACCATCGCCTTGGGCTGATAAAATAATTTGCTAATGTACTCCGACCCCAGCATATTCTTCATGTCGTATCCGTACACGTGCAGCCAGCTGTTCAAGTGCGTCATATAAGACACGTCGGTATTGAGATTAATTGGATCGTTATTCTTAAATCGATATATAAAAATGTCGGTCGGCGTCGTCAGCTTCGTCGCCAGTTTCTCCCACGACGGCGTCATCCACTGCCCGACGGTGGGATCGTACAGCTTTTTGGCGAGGAATACCAGTTTCGTGTTCGGATCGAAAATGCCGCCGTGGAAATCGACCGGAAGGTAAAAGTCCGGGTTGGTGTCTAGCACAATTGCGCCGAAAGGTGTCCGTCGAACTTCCTTGATTAGATTTCCGTTGGTGTCGAAAAGGGCGAGGGGAGAACCATTTTGATCGGTCGCGACGTAGAATCTCTGCTCGGAGGTTTCCACTGTGATTATAACTTCGCGTTGATCGTACAAGAACCGGAAGGTACGGCCTGATTTCGGAAAGTGTAAATGGGTGATCAAGTCGGGTGAGCTTGGGTTTGCGTAGAAATATTGGGTAACGTTGCCTTTGTCGTCGTTCCAGGCGATTAGTCGTCCTCGGTCGTCGTAGTGGTACCACGTTTGGAATTTGTCCCGTTCGAACGCGTGGATCAATTGGCCGTGCGAGTTGTACCTGTACTTCTGCTCACCGCGGCGCACTACAAAGCCGCGACTGTCGTAACTGTTAAACTCGACGTCGCCGTACTGCACGACACGATCCCCGCTATCGTAGCCAAGCGAGATTTTCTCCTTTTCCTTTATTACCCCTATTACGTTCCCGTTTTCGTCAAACACATACTTCCAGTTGCTCGTGCCCAGAACCTCCAAAACGTGACCGTCGGCGTTGTAAGTAATCTTGTCCAAAAATGATGATCTCCCCACCGTCAGCTTTTGAGTCTTAATACGATTCCTCTGATCGTACTCCAACTCAAGCCTGTAGACGTCGAACGATTTGATATTGATTAAGATCGACTTAATTCGCCCGTGCTCGTCAAAGTCGGTGATCGTGAAAAACTGTTTGCTTGTATCTTGCATCACCGATCTATTGAATGTATTACGATAGATGCGTAAATCGCTGATCGCCTCCAGCATTCCAAGATTCTGATTATACTTCAGTCTCAGCTGGGGCATTTCCTTACCGTTGATATCGACGTCAATTCCCGATAGTCGCGCGTTTCCATCGTATTGGTACTTGTAGTGCGTGTTATCCAATCCACTCTTGCCCAAGAACTTCAGCTTTTCATCTTTCAGAATTCCGGCGTGATACTTGAACTCGTGCTTCAGCTCGAAGTTGGGCTCGACGATGTCGACGTTTTTAACCAGATTAGTCGCGTCATGGTAAACGTAGTGAGTCGAACTTAGCCCGGCCAAACTCGTCTCGAGTTTTCCCGACCGATCGTAAACGTACGCGACTTTGCCGGATTGATGTGGATACACTTTCGCTAAAATCTGACCTTCGTCGTTATAAATTATTTCGTATGGATGCCGGTTCATCGGTGAAAAATACTGGTACTTGAAGAATCCGAGGGACGTTTGTAATGAAAAGGTGTGGATGTGGCCACGAGGAGTGGTCAGGCTTTGCAAGGCGCCCGCTTCGTCATATTGTAATAAATAATCTGATCCTCGAGGGGTTGTCACTTTCAGAGGCTAGAAGGAGAAATAAATTGCCTTTAGATTCTCTTTTCACAACAGGTGTTATACATGCAACAAAACCTGGCACTATCGCTCAGTTTGGTATTATTGGAGACAAAATCGGTTAATTATCAAATATACTTTTGCTTGTATACATATTGAAATTCATCATAGGGCAAAAATGTTCTTATATTAAAGGAAAGTTCGTTAAAGTCTCTACAAATTTTAATCTCACCACTTTTCGCATTTCCAACCGCCCTCAAAAAGTCAATTTTTTTCAAAAGAAGTTTTTACCTCGCGTTTATCATCAAACATTCTTTTATATCGTCTGCATCAGGAATAGATATAGTGATATTCATTTAGAAGTAGACATAGGGATTTCCTATGTCTACTTTTAAATGACAAAAACTCTTCTGAAGGACGCCTAATTTTATGCAACCAAAATAACTTCTTAAAACAAATGAAGATTTTGCAGTCATATTAATTAATTGGAATATTATGGCTTTGGCTCCTGTATTTTTATTTTCGTTCGTGTGCGATCAATTGGTATAGTACCGGTAATAGTTTAAGGAGCGTAAGAGACTTATTTTCTGTGTTAATCACTTTAAATTGTTGTTTATTTAAATCCGATCCACATAAGACACTGTAAACAACCTTCAATTTTAACAAAGGATACAAAACTGAATGTTTTCATTTTTGCGAAAGAGAATCCCATAAGAAACTTAAGGGAAATAGCGGGCGAATTTAATATCTCTTCATCACAACCTAAATGCATACTGTTTACTGTTGTTTTTATTAAAATCTAGAATGACAATTCAAAATGCGTACGCATGTTATTTCGGTTGTATAAAATTAGGCGTCTTTCAGAAGAATTTTTGTCATTTAAAATTAGATACAGGAAATTCCTATGTCTACTTCTAAATGAATAGCACTGTATGTATACTTAAGTACTACTTAAAGAAGTTTTTAGAAAATTGTAGTTATTTTATATCCCAATACAAAAAATGCAGTAAGTTATAGTTTGTGTATTATATGAGTAGACGCAGCTGTAGCCACTATGATACAGTGCACTGTATCTTTGTGTGACCGACATGGTTTCTGTGAGTTTGTCAGTTAATAAGCTTATTCATTATTTAGTGTCTTTCAAAAGAAACTTATAATATAACTCGGTTTAATAGGAAATCAATCCATGACCTACTTTTTCTGTAAGTATTACCTTTCTTTCTTCATTTATAGTTGTTCCACCTAAGTGACTGCTAAGTGCTGCCACATCCATAGGAATTGTGGTACTATCTGATTATTCAATGGGTTGTGTACAGGTAGGTACCTACTCTAATTTAAATGATCTTTGCCATGACCTTCTAAATATTCCTTTACTTATTTACATACAGGGTGCCCATTATGTATGGAATATAGTATATATGTTTAGGCAAATATCAATTTTATTTCCCATTCAATTGTTTTTATTTCAGAAAACAAATGATTTTTTTTTCTTTTCTATAACATGTTAGTGCCCTTATTCACGAAAATTTTTCAAAAAAATTTATTATAATCACATCAATAACATTAATCCATATATTTTACATCAAAATAAAACAAATGAACGTCACAAAACGAAATTAACAGTAAAATGGTTTTCATCGCAATGAATGTTCACCATTAAAAGCAAGGCAGTGGCATAATCTATTTAAAGCTTGAAATAAAAATTAATTTCTTCTACACGGGTGCTAACGTGTACTTACGTCATTGAAAAGAAAAAATAAATCTCTATGAAATGACCCTAATGAAAGTGTGCATTGCTATTTAAAAAAATTCAATTGTTTTTCGTTATTCATTTGTTTTCTGAAATAAAAACAATTGAATGCTGCCTTATTATGGGAAATAAAATGCTAAACAACTTTCATATAGACAAATTTTGTATACAGTCGATATTTACCAAAATATATACTATATACCATACATAATGAGCGCCCTGTATATCAAATTACATTTAAAGGTAAAGGAAAAATCCGTGCAGGCCGCGCGAATATTATGTACTCTTATCAGAGGTAGAACAATTTGTAATTCAACAATTTTTTTGTGTACTTAAATATACAGGGTGGAAATTTTATCTGGAACACTGAATATACGATATATCTTCAAAACTACAATTTTTGCAAGTTTTTTTTTATGGTATCCACAATTATAAAAAGTTTGCTACCAATCTAATTTGTGATTTGTGATCTTTGCATGGTCAAGGGGGGGCATATTTTTTTAATGGCAACCGTTAGAGCAGCATAGGAAACTTTTTGTACAGGGAGATTCACGTAGCCCATTCGTTAGAAGTTTTTAAACTTCCAGTTGAAATAGAAATTTAAAATTTGGTTCACAGCTATAATCAGGATTGAAATAAAATAACTTCACTGCATCTGCAAATACCGGAAGTTGGCGCTATCTTAGTTTTTGAAATATAAACGTACCATTTTCTATTTTTTCTAAATGCGCCATTTTATTCTGAATTCAACGCACTATCTGTCATGGTTTTTGGAATACGCCAATTTGTCTCTAAAAATGTGGAGTCCATTAAAAAAATTACATCTCTCGAAACCTTAAAGTCTAAGCAATTTTTTAGTGACCTCTGAAAGCCTTGAAAAATGTTCCAAGGCTGTTGCGATTTTTCAAAGTTAGCAATTAACCTTTTTATTAACAGTCTGTATGCCTATATCCGATAGCTCGTCCGGCTTATAGCATTTTTTGAAGGAAATACTCCTATTTTTTCATTAGGCGTGGTAGGCGAGATGGTTGTGGCGGGCTCTGTGACGAAATAAGCCCGAGATGGTTGTGGCGGGCTCTGTGACGAAATAAGCCCGCCAATCAGCTGGTAGAACCATTCAGATGCCATCACGACTTGGCAATATTGCAGGAGACTGTCCCAGGCGCTTGTCACTTGTCATTTACTTTTGCGTGGATGTATTAGGCTTCGCAGAAGGTTGCCGGCTCATCTTTACGTGATTGGTTGTAGGTTTGTGACGTATTTAGACTGAGGCGTTTCAAATTCTCACCAAAAACACCGCTTTTCAATAATTTATTTGGGGTTTATTTTACTCGTAAATAAAAATTGAGGATACATGGGTCTTTTTATTTTTAATGTACTTTTGTAGATCAGAAATGAAAAATTAAGGCGGGATATGCCCCTATTCTCACTAATGGAAATCATTATCTACATTGTGTTGTTTTCGATTTACTTATTTGTTATTTATGTAATAGAATAGTTGACAAAACATGCCGCGCTTGAAATAAATACACATCTCCAGAATGGGACAAATGGAAAATTTCTTTGATTAAATAAGAAACATGTGTTGATTTTGGAATGACTACTATTTTAACGAGACGTTTAAAAACTTCTGATTAACGAACGGGCTGTGTGAATCGCCCTGTATTACATAATAAAATTTAAGAGAACAATTCAAATTAAGGAAAATGTTAATTAATTTTATAATTTTACTATTTTGGCCCCCCTCATCTCTTATATAAAATTGAGCTTTTTCATACTGAAAACACGGTGTGCTTTTATTTATTTATTTATTGTCCCTCTTGTTCTAGACCATCAACAGGTTTACGCCCAATTTACAGTCTGCGCTTTTTTGGTTTTGGTAATATTTGGAAACATCAAATTAGGGCTAAGTGAATACGTAAACGACGGTACTGCATAGTGTGCTTATTTGTGTTCCTATGGTCACGGTTTGTGCGTCTTTTGTTTCAGAAATATATCAAAAAAATGGAATGGGGGAGGGGGCAAGTGGACGCCCCTTCGACTTTACCAAAAGTACTAACGGTCGGTGGAATAACTAATTAATGAATAAACAAATGGTATTACTAATCCATACACACTTGCAATTTTCTCACCAAAACACTATCGTTTATTAGACAATGAATACTTACTTACTCCAAAGTGTTTTGCCTGTGTTAAGGACGTCATAAAAGAAGTAAGGACGTTTGTGTTGAAGTGAGAGAAAATGGAATACTTGGTCGAACGCAAATACAGGGTAGTATAACAGTTTATACTGTCCGGAAGCAACCGAAAATTTGTCATCTAAAATTCTGTAAACAAGTGAAGTTTCCTGTAGCTGTCAGCGAATGTTGCTATGTCAGTTTTGGTGCGCCTATATCGCAAATCTTATGTATGACCATGGAGTATTGATGAAAACTTTAATTTAAGATTTTAAAAAATTTTTAATTATCGACCGCCTGCGTGCGGGGTATTATGTCCAAACAAGCTTTGTAAGTTTTTTTTGCTTCAGGGATTCTGTTGTAATTGTTTCATTGTGTTTCGGAATAAACTTTTGTGATTGCCAATTAATTAATTGTGTCTTTATTCGTCAGGTCCCGTAGAGCTCGGGTAATCGGAGTTCTACTGTACTCAAAATATAAAAATAAATACGCGTCAGCCAATGAAATCTACATTCTTTTTGGGCAAAGTCTAAAATCTGACACTATGAACAAACAATCAACTTACCAAACTGCTGAACATGTCCTTGAACGCATAGATCATAGAAGATCCATCCGCATATTTGATCTCGTTCAGTCGTCCGGCTCGATCGAATCCATACGTCTCGCTCAGTTCCCCCCATTTCCAGCTGGTCAGTCGACTAAAGCGGTCGTACTCGAGCTCGACTTCCGCGAATATTCCGTTGCGCGGTCCCCATTTAACGGGTCGCGAGGTACGATCGTACGTAACGTTCAATAGCTCGACTTTGTCGTCCATGAAGACCGAAACCGACGTAGACTCGCGATCGTACTCCAAACTGAGCAGGTTCTCACCGTTCACTCGAAGTTTGCGCCCCACTTGCGCTATTGTTTTCGGGGCGAGGTTCTTTCCTTTGCCGAGTTGAGTTTTCTTTAGGAAGTAGCGCCACTCGAATCGGTTTGATAGGTCTCCTCCGATTTCGGTGTGCTGCTTGGCCGGTACGGGATAGCTTTCACCTAGCAGAGGGTCAATCTCGGCCAAAATAGTGTACGGTACGGTATCTGTTACTACACTGTACGTCCAAGGCGCGGAGCTTGTCACACTTCCATCGGCCGAAAGTATAGTCTTATGCTCGGCCTCGCCCACTTTGGTCGAAACCGTCGACCCCTTAATTAAGATCGAAATGGGATCCTTGTTGTTTTGCTTTACCATAACCGTAGCTCCTTTGATGCTGAGATCGAACGAAAGGCCGATCACTTTACCCGTCGGCGTCACTGCCGACGTCAGTCTTCCAAATTCGTCGTAATTGTAAACGTAGCTTCTTCCGCTGCTGTCTAACTTAGTCTTGAGTAGACCAGTAGGTCCGTGATAGTCGAATGTCACATTGTAATTGTCGGGTGTTCCCAGCTCTTGCAACATTCTCATCCGCGACATTTTCAATCGGCATTTCTGCCCTTTGGTGTTTTCGATCGAGTTCACTTGACTCGAGTAGTCTCGTAATAAGAACACTTTGTTTCCGGCAGCGTCAGTCACTGTACTCAGCTTGCCATTGTTGGTGTTAACGTTATAAGTGAACAGGTAATTCGTTTCGCCGGTCAAAATGTTTTTAGTGGCAATGTGTTGGCCGAATCTGTTGAATATGTAGATTTCCTGGGTGGACGGGGAGAATATTTCGTATTCTCTGGCGGCGCTCGAGTCGGGTATGCTCGCCATCACTGAACGGATTCGATAGTTAGCCTGATCGCCGATGTGAACGATACCGTCTGGGCTTACGGCGACTGTGGATATGGTGTTGAATTTCGAATTCGAGGCTAAGTAGTGGTCGGCTTCGAAACAGTCACATCCGCGCTCGAGGCAGTTGCATTTTGATTCGGCGCCGGCGTACGGTGCAATTTTACCATCGGTACCGATAATGCGCACCCTGTTGATTCTCTGCGAATCACTTTCGGCTACGAATAAGTCACCGGTTGGACTGAACGCTATGCTTTGGGGCATGACTAGAGTCGCGTGAGTAGCCAGTTCCATATCGTATTCGGTGGTTGGTGAGGCGCAATGCAAGGGACGCCCCGCCACGACCTTAATGCGACCATCAGGCGCTAGTTGCAGAATCATGTGATCATCTATTATATGCAGTGAGTTGTCCAAGGGGTTGATGGACAGCTCCGTTGGCCAGCGCAGATGAACTTCTTCAATATTTAAAGTCCCCTCGCAAGGAATAGGTTTCCAATGCGACTTGTGCATGTGATTTCCAATTACCGTGGTGATGATCCCGTCTCTATCGACCATTCGGATGTTGGTACCGTCGGCGAAGTATAAAACATTGTCCGCCGAAACTGCCACGCCTTTGGGATAGGCCAATTTGGCATCGCGAGCTAACGCGCCGTCTCCGCAATGCGCCTCGTCGCCCGGTAAGCAACGTTCTCCTGAACCGACGACAATCTCCCAGTTACGATCTGGATCACTGAAATCGTTTATGTTTCTAACGCGGATAATTTGATGCGATTCCGGATCTGATATGTATAGAATTCCGTCAAGTGGACTTAGTGCCATGTGGTAGCGATATGAAACTCTTGTCGCACTGGAAAAAATAACTATTAAAGTTAGGTACATTACAATATGCTATATACGAGGATGTTCAATAGAAACACGTTTGATCTATACAGCCATGACCTGGTCGTCATGGCAACCGAATTCATTTGTTTAAATTGTTTGCTTAAGCGTCTGTCAAAACTTCGTCCTTACAGTCTTGACCTGTCTCCTTGCATTGCTCCATTATAGCAATCGCTAAAATAAGGACGGCGGTTCAAAACAGACGCTGAGGTAGAGAGACACGGTTGCCCATTGTTCATTACAATCAATTGTTACAGATCATACCTAATTTGTCTATTTTCATAAATGTCCGTCCAAAAAGGCAAAACGATTTTTTAATTACGTATATTGTAGCGAATATTCCAGAAATCTCTATCTATAGACATAAAGGCACCATGAAAGATTAGTCATTGGCGATAAGGAACGAAGGCGCATGTGAGGCAATCTTTCGTTCTAGAACGTTCTGAAGCGGCTTTGAGCACTTGAGAACATTCTAGAAAGAATGTTGTTTGCTATATATACAAATGGATTGTTTCGAGTCAGTTCCAACTTCGATGCGCTTGTGCCATGTGATAAATTGTAAATGATACATAATGATTACTATTATAAATTAATCCATTTTAAAGACTGTTATAAATTTATTGTTAGTTAGTTGTAAATAAATAAAACCACGTAATTAAATTTGCATTTTTAAAGATATCACTTTGTATTATACGTTGTTCGGAGCAAATAAATTCGTAACGAAAACTTCTGTAATACTGTGCAAACGTTTGGAACGGTGACTACAGCACAGTACACAAATGCCATAATGTGTCGGAAGAGTCCTAGCTATCTGACTATAGATATATTCATTTTGACATTTTATTAAGTGAAAAGGCTGTAACCGTATACAGGAATCGGAGAAAAACCAACTGGGACCTCCATAGAAAAAAACTGTCCCGCAGGAGTCAATAGCGCGGCGGTACTGGAGGCCATGAAATCAAACCTTCGCATGGCCATCAAAAGTGCCTCATAAGACCCAGGACCCATGAGCGCTTTGTGGCTGGCAGCATCACTCAAATGAAAACACAAAACAGAGATAGAGCCAGGCTACGTTGCCCACTTGCAAAGAATTAATTTAATTAATATTCTAAGGTGACGGTGCAAATAACAAATTATCAAATTCCATCAATAAGATCATGTTGAAGGCTACCACATTCCCTTTGTCGGTACCCACCTCCGACGTCCCGTTCACCAGCAATTCGTATTTTGGGTGGATTTTGCTAAAAACCCTCCACAAAGTAATACTCAATTTTAGGGGCACTTCTCATAGCTCCAGCGACACGTGGAAGACAGACCGCGTCACCGACCTCTTAAGAAACTTTTGGGTGCCCAAAGTCGACTATCCCTCAAAGGCGCGGGCCTTACAAAACAATAGGACCAAAACTGTAGAAGAAGATATAGGAAATAGGCCGTCCGATTTAGTAAGTTATTCATACTTGTTTCTGCACTACTATTTCATCCGAGCATGTGATTAAATCGATAAGAGTAATTTATTTCAGGAACTAACGAAATAACTGAGCAAAAATATGTACGGCAAAATTCCAAAAGTGTAAAAGAATTTCAGAATTCCAAAAAAAATTCTATCAGACTTTCAAAAGATTGGAAACTGCAAAATAATTCGATTGAATTCCAAAAACTTTCATAGATTTTCAAGGAATTTAATTGACTTCCAAAGAAACCAGTTATTCCATTTTTAAAGAGAACCGTTTATCTATCATTTTCGTAAAAAAAAGCTTTTTTTTTTGCAATAACCTGTTTTAACTTAACGGTTTGAACGATTTTAACAAATTTGGTATAGCTGAAAAGAGCATTCTTTGGGCAATAATAATCAACCAACATATAGTTAATTTAGTTGAATCCTTCTGCGTCAGGGGTTGTACGTTAGTACAACACGCTTCGGGTTGGCGCTCAGATGTCGCCAACCGCATCATGTAGCCCCGTCATTTATTTATTTATTTATTTATTATCCTTCTCTTGTTCTGGGTCCTCAACAGGCTTGCGCCCAATTACAGAGTGATCCGCATAATGCTATTTAGAGGTGCCTCTACAGAAGGTCTTAAGATGGGGCATGTACACTCCTTGTCTTCCTCCAAGCGTTTTTCTACAGACCCGCATTTGCTGCTAGCCAGCTAGCCAGCCGGCTCAAGTGAGATTAAAAGCTTCCAAATGAGTAAATGGGAAGATAATTGATAAATCAGACTCTTAAAATCAAGCCATTGAATCGATTAAAGGTAGATTTTTCACAAACTATACATAATATTTATGTATGGTTCTTTCCTTTTTAAATTCACATAATTTCCCTGATATTAAAAATGGAGTATTACCCAATAATCTACTGGAAAAACGTTGGGAAAAATATTACCATTTAATGATCTTGCCACATTTACTCGATTACGAGAAAAAAATTTAAGATCCTGTTGGGGACAACAACAATTGGGATTTCTTGAAAAAAAATTGTATAAAAATTAACGACCGTCCACCGCATTGCTTCCGAAAGATGAAGAATGTACCAGTAGAATTTATATCAAGAAACATTGTAGCGAATATTCCAGAAATCCCATGAAAGAAGAAGAATCTGCAATAAAGAGCGAAGACAGATCGCAATCATTCCGGGAAATACGACGTGCTTGTTCGAGAACATTCTAGAATACTCGGGAACCTTCGAGAAAGAGCGACGCTTGCTATATAAGCAAATGAAATTGCGTTTCGGTCAGTTCCAATTTCAACGCCGAAGTAAAGAATAGTTCGCGCTTATAATTACTGTTATAAATTAATCCATTTTAAAACTTATAAATTAATTAATTGTAAATATATAAATTACGTACTTAAATTTACGTTCCAATATTCGGCACTCGTTAATGCGTAGGTATGAACCTGTTAACTTATTCTTTCGCAATTCTGGAAAGTAAGTATAAAAAATCGATTAAGGAACAGATTGTGTGTAACAATAATCTAGAAGTATTTATGTTGGGAAAGAATTATCAACAATCAGTGTTAGAAAAAGCATTAATATTTTAAAGTTAAGGCACCCCCTCCCCCACCAATTCATGAATATCGGTTTATGGTTCCCCCATCCACCCTTGCACAACAGTTGTGTCTTAGGAATGCGCCCATTGAGATTTGGTTTGATTCGGATTCCTGGTAGTTCAATATTTCCATCGAAAAAAGGGAGTCATCTTTTACCTCCCTTACTATAACGTGCGGGTAGTAATAAATCAAAACTAGCCGCTAGTTTGCGATTGTAGTGATTTCAAATGTTGGCCTAAAATACGACTGTTGTAACATATTTACCTAAGTGATACAATCCTGTAAGCCTCCATTTTAAAGTGAGGAGAAACCATCACTGAATTGATGAATTGTTTCAGGCAAGCAATGCCCCCCTCTGTTGCCCCCTAATGCAACTAAAGTCAGAAAAACTTAATTTTTGTTGGAATTGCTTGTAGGAATTTTGTAAAAAGGTATTTTAAAGTACCTATCCTTTGATCCAAGATAAGACATAAGGTTACTTGTAAGCCTTTCACATTCCTTAACCAAAAATTGTAGCCTACCATCAACGACAGAAGACTTTACTTGGTCCTGTAAGTCGGGAACTTTCTGTTCTTCTTCGAGGGTGGAACCTTCCGTGACTTTATTTCCCTCGAAGAGATAAATCAGGCGTTTTCCTATTCAAATTCCCTTCCTGAAAAAAAGGTCTCGCCTAGTGTGAAAAGTTCTTGCCTTGAAGCTGCTCCTCCCCCTCCTGACCCTTCCTTAAGCGAAAAAGGCTTGGGGTTGGCGGGTTCTCAAATCCTTTCCTTCTTTTTCGAGCTGTTTTGCCAATTTAATTTTCCATGAGATTTCAGCTTCTGGCTTTTGCTTTCAGTTTATTTGGCGAGTTCCGCTCTCCACAGTGATTGACCTTTAGTAAAAATGCTGCGTATCACCCGGAGGAGACCGTAGGCCACGATTTGAATTTGAAACCCGATGGCATCCCCAAACTGGGACGACCTACGGTTTACTAGAGCGGAATTATGAGTCATATTTCCGCAGGTAACGACCTTCGCGACTACCAGCAGATCTCCGATTTGAGATCTAAATCCCTCCGCGAGGGCGTAACGCAAGAACGTCTCGTCGTGGAAGAGTAGGAAATGTTTTCTAGGCGCTTTAATAAATCTTTTTTACGTATTTTGGCCAATTCTCAAAAGGTAAACAGAGCCTGCACAACTAAAGGGAGTTATATAATTTTTACCTGCGAAACTGGTACCTACACCGAAGTAAGCTTTCTTTAAAATCAGTGGTGGTAGGTGGCTTTGTGCGGCATACTATGTGTAATACAAAGTGATATCGAGAAACGAACACTGAAGTAGGTATAATAACTTCCTATACTCACAGAAAGTGTAGTCATTTATAAATTTGTTTTCTGTTTTTTGAAGTGTCTTAAAAGCACAAAAAAAACAAAATTTGGGAACTGTTGGAGAATGGTGCACCCGCGCACAACGTCCAAATCGTGCGAGCCCATCGCACAAATTGTTCATTTCCAGGAAATTTGCCCGACAGCTCTTCTTGCACAATTCGGGCGTTGTGCGCAGGTGCACCATCTTGTTGAAACCAACAATTTCCGACTCTTGTTTTGTGTAGTATATCGTTGTACTCGTAGTCAAAAACGGTACTCAATACAGGGTGTACTTTTTTTATGGGTCATATAACCGTCGTATCTTCTATAACTCTATAACTAAGGTGATGTCAGCCTACCTTACAGTAAAATAGTGTAGAAAAAATAATAAATTGCTAATAGTAACAATTTGATGTATGAGTACCAATGGTAAGAAATTTTTTCTCAGTTTTGGTAGGGATCTAATACTTAGTCTAAGTGACTTACTTCAGTCTAACAACAGTTTGCACTGTTCCGTCCGTGAGAATTTTTCGAATCAAGTTAAAATCGCCAACAAAAATCGACCCATCCGGAGCTGTTGCTAAAGCAACCGGCGCTAACAGTCTTTGTTTGGAAGCAATTCCATCACAGTCGTTACATTCCAAAGGCCTTTGATGACCGTCGCCCATCGTTGTTATAATCACTCTGGGCTTATGTTTCAGGTAGATATTGGCACCATCCCCTTTCTGCAGAATACCTGAAAGCAAAAACATGGGGAGATGCTTCAAAAGTGCATTGCTTACCTTCGTGGAAGTTATATCGATGATGGATGTCCAAATTCCATCCGCCGACATCCGAAATACTCATGTCGTGGCCGCTTAATTTCGTCGTTTGTACGTCCCAAATCACATTTTTACAATCGCTATATTCGTACCCTACCTTAATCATCGCCGTTGTGACACCGTAAACTCGCTGCCGATAAACATTCAGCCGATTCCAAGCGTAGGTGAATTTGATAATGGGATCAGCTTCGAAGACTTTCTCAAATAGTATTCCCTCAATCGTAATACGTAAATGGATCAGGTTGAGTGTCGGCGGAATAACGTCGGGAGTTAGCTGTAGCTGTATGGTCGAAAGGTAGCCGGCCGTTCGCGAGCTGTGATAAACCAAATTTAATCCGGTGCCCGGAATTTGCAAGCTCTCTTGCACAACTTGAGATTCGGCCAAAATGGCGCTCTTATCCGGGCAGGCCCCTTGAAATCCGTGCTTCCACGTCGCCAGGACCACGGGTTTCATTGTTTCGTAATTGTGCGCGGAACACGGCTGAGGTATATTCACTATACCTTTGTCCTCTCCGATATTCATTATAACATCGTCGATTATTACGACTTCGTTCCACGGCACGAATACGATGTGCTTTTCGGGTCTAAAGGGTTGTCTTCCAAATTGAAGGGTGACCGCTCCTCCTCCGTTTACAAGAAGATCGAACCAACCGTCATCTCTGGTTAAGGTAAAGCCTTCCAATGGAGTATTCGTGCTAACCCTTACGCCCATCAGTCCTGTACCCATTTGAGTCGTAACTCGCCCTCTAATTACCGCCGACCGACTGCATAGAAAGCATACATTACAATACCGTAGAGACCGTTTCTAACGTGTGTTAAATGAGTACCTTATACAGGGTGCCCATTATGTATGTACTATCTTCGGTAAAATTATCGACATGCTAGTAACAAAAATTTCTCTTATGAAAGTTGTTTAACCATTTTATTTCCCGGCATTCAGTTGATTTTTATCCAGAAAAACAAATGAAGTAACGGAAAACAATTTGGAATTTCTTTTAGCTTTCCTTTGTCCGTATTTAATTTAAAACTCAAAACATTACTCGAAACTGGGCATTCCAGTATTTTCAAAATCCATTCGAAGGGAAATAAAGTAGAAACAACATTGAACATTTATTGCTTTGGATGGATTCCATTGAAATCCATCGCGTTTTACTGTGGAATCATTTAAAGGGTGGGGTGGGAAATATCTAGCAAGAGGATCTTTAAATCAAGATCCACGCGGAAAATTTTCTTCTGTGGTTAGAAACAGACGGGGGATACGCCCACAGTGCGCCAATTTAAAATTCATAGAACAAAATATGAACATTAGTTTCAAATGGCTTGTGTGGACCGGAAATTGGATTGCAGCGGAAGTTCTCGAGATTGGCAATTCAGGAAGCCCTATGACGAATCTGATGATTGTAACCTACAAATGAGCCCATCACGAATGCCGACAATATCCGATGACGGGTGGTGGAAGACCAAAGCTATTTGATCTTCAATATTGTTGATGAATTGCTCCATTTTTAATTAGTGTTGTTGCTAAAGTTAAGGGTAGTTGTATTTCACTAATTTTTATTAAGGAAATTAATTGGTCCTGATGATGGACGAAGCTCGTCCGAAATCGATCGCGACCAATTAATTTCTTAATAAAAATTAGTGAAATACAACTACGTTACTTATGATCTCCAACTCTGACACAAGGGAATCCATAAATAGAAATTTAGCGGCAACTTTAGAAACGTGCCCAGTGTACTATATGTTGCTGGTTACTTAATTTATAAAATGGACCTGAAGTTTAACTGTGACCTTTGCATCTAGTGTTGCCGCGAGACGAGACCAAGTCAAAGTCTCATCTCGCCCTGGTTCAGTCTCGTCTCGTCTCTCCATACTATCCAAAAATGGTGTAGAGCATATAAAAGGCACAACGAAGGCATGACAAATAATAATCTATCTGCTAATCACGAAACATAATTATGCGTATTTTAAGGATTTGCTTTACCATTCTGCAGCTAAAAAATATTAGCTTTCATAAAATGTATCTGGACGTAATGTAACTAGGTAGGAAAGTCTCACTGAACTGTTTGTTACTTAAATACTTAAAGATAATCTGTCCAAGTTATTTTGTAAAATCGTACTTGTATGGTCTTAACTGCCCGGTAAATTTGTATCTATACCTACAGTACCTGTATTTGGATATGTCAATTTAGCAAGAACACAAAGAAAAGAGTAAACTCATACTATAGTACCTATAGCATTTTAGCCCCAATATGGCGACCAGAACGAACTACCAATCAAGAACGAACTACCAATCAAAAACGAGATACCCGGTTGTAACCACTGTTCGAAATTGAGTCACTATACCTATATTTTTAAAAACATACCTTAGAGACAGAGTCCAACGTGTTTTTAAAAACATACCTTAGAGACAGAGTCCAACGTGTAGTGTATAATAATCATGTGTCAGGCGTGATTACTGTCACATCGGGTGTCCCGCAAGGTTCCACCCTGGGGCCCCTATTATTTTTACTATTTATTAATGACCTTACAGATACAATTACTTGCAACAAGCTCCTCTTTGCAGACGATTTAAAAATTTTTTGTTCAATTAATTCAGTGCAAGATTGCTTATTCCTCCAACAGCAACTTAATTTAGTTCTTCACTGGTGTTGTACTAATGAGTTGCCTCTGAATGTATCTAAATGTAAAGTGGTCTCGTATACAAAAAGAAATCAACCTATCGAGTTTAGTTATCTCCTTGACTCAATTAAGCTAGATCGCACAGATCTTGTCAAAGATCTAGGTATTTATTTTGACCATAAACTTACTTTTACGCATCATTATACCACTTTGTGTCGTTCTGCGATGCGTACCCTTGGATTCATTGTGCGCAATACAAGGTCTTTCACAGAATTGGATTCGCTGAAAACATTATACTTTGCACTTGTGCGTAGCAAACTCGAATTATACTGCTGTGTGATTTGGTTTCCTCGCCACAAAGTGCACATCAACATGATCCAATCTATCCAAAGACGGTTCTTAAAAATGCTGTATTTTACGGAGGAACGAGTTTATCCTGTTCGCGGGTTCAACCATGACCTCTTGCTATCTAAGTACAATTTTAGCTCCCTCGAAAGCAGGAGGAAAGTTGCCTGCCTTACTTTTCTGCATAACATTATTCACAATAAATTGGATGCACCTTATTTGTTGTCATCCATTAATTTTCATATTCCTTCATACAATACTCGTTTCAATGTCTCATTCTCTAGAACTACTCACCTCGCACAAATATTTTATACAAATCTCCTATTGTAAACGCATGTAAATTATTTGATTCAATTTGCCCGAATATTGACTTATTTCATTCCACATTACTCGAAATGGTTAGTTATATTACGTATTAGTTAATAATTTTTGTTTACCCCTTAGATTGCATTACATGTTTTGGTATATCTGTTTATTTAATTATTTTCTTTTATTGTTATTCATGGATTTTTGCGTAGGTACTACTAAGTTACACACTGTATAAGGTTAGAATTTCGTTTCATTTTCTTTATATTATTTTGTACTCTATACATATTAATCTGTTGTTGTCCTGTAATTGGAAAATGTATTTTTTTCTGTTGGACATTAAATATTATTATACCACCCTATCCATAGAAACAATTGGATTTAATGCCATAGACTTGTGAAAATACAAAGGGCTTTTAATATAAAGGAATCCGCGGGATCCTATTAAGTATTATAACCAAATCTTGTTTTTCCGTAGGTATAGACAATTACCATTATTTGAGTCAGGTAGACATATACCTACTGCTATTGATGATGGTACAGAGGTTTAATAAATCAATTGTCCGCCAATAAAATAAAATAAAGCTGTCGAAGGCTTCCTGGATTTAAGAAAAATTACACTTGTATATAACACCTATGGTATAATTATGTCCCAAATCAGTAAAGTCTGGAAGGATTTATGTAAACAATTGGAATTCGGGTTACTTCAATGGATTTTCTTGATTAAAATTTAAAAAAAAAACTTCGTGACTCTCGCCGAGACTGATGGTTAGTCCCGTCTTTGTCGAGACAAGACGAGACGAGACGAGACGAGACTTGGCGGCATCACTATTTACATCCAAAAATTATCAAAGAATAACTAATAAATAAACAAGAATTATTTACGTCATATAGATTATGCTTGCGATAGTAACATAAAATTTTTGAAACGTCCATCAGACGAATTTGCACTAACAATATATCAATTATTGGAACATTTTAATAAAGCGTTTTCGTTATATGAGAACGCTGTGTATAATTTTTAACAGCAGTTATTAAATATTATACAGTGCCATTTATTAAGACGCAGACATAGGGATTTATGCATAGAATTACCAACCACTTACTCTATGGATTTATGTGTATTGTTCTTCCCTATGTCTACTTTTAAATGACAAAATCTCTTCTGAAGGGCGCCTAATTTTATACAACCAAAATAACTTTTTAAAACAAATAAAGATCTGGCAGTCACATTAATTAATTTGAATATTTTCGCTTTGGCTTCCGTATTTTTATTTTCGTTCGTGTGCGATGTAATGTAACTGAAGAAGAAGTTGATAGAATCGATTGGTATAGTGCCGGAAACAGTTTAAGGAGCGTAAAAGATTTATTTTCTGTTAAGCCAAAGCAACAATACTCAAATTAATTAATTTGACAGCCAGATGTTTATTTGTTTTAAAAAGTGATTTTGGATGCATAAAATTAGGGGCCCTTCAGAAGAGATTTTGTCATTTAAAAGCAGACATAGGAAACAATACACATAAATCCATATGCCTACGTCTTAATAAATAGCACTGTATAAGGCATAGCGAATCCAGATAACTATTTTGAAATTATTCTTGTCGTTGGACACCCTATATGAGCCAAAACGTGAGTTAATCTGCAATTTTGTATGTAACAAAATAAATACGATTTGTTTCGTGAGCGTCATGAAACGTATCAAAAGACAATAAGGTTATTAAATTATTGACCTACCAGTGGCGTATTTACGAGGGGGGATGAAGAGGATATATCTCCCTCCCCCCAGAAGAATTGAGTTATCATCATAGCTATTAGGTATTTAGGTAATACTCCGCTATCCGCTCCGCCCACTTTAAAATAAAGGCAATAATAGGTATATATAGAGAGCAATTTTGGTTTTGGTTAAAGTCTAAAGTCACTAAAATCTAAATATTCTGTAGTATTCAGTATTCACTATTCAGTGAGTGATCAGTGTTAGCAGTCAACGATTTGGCTATTCGGCATCGATCGGCAATTCGCTACAATGATGCACAAAATAACAAATAGGTATCAGGTACTTAGTACTGCTACTGAGGGGGGGTACCTGCGTCCTGCCTTTCACGAAATGACGAAAATAAGAATTTTAAATTTTAAAAACAGGAATTTTTTTTGCCCATAACTTTTGATTGAGACGTCTAATCGAAAAAGTACGAATCGTTTTGGATTCTACGCATCCAAATTAACAAGAAAAAGTTTTTTCCCGAGAAATTTTGGTGCAGTCGATTTTTGGGAAAAAAGGAAGGTAATAACTGCCTTTTTTTTGCCCAGAAAAAAAATTGCCTCAGATCGACCCGGAAAAAAATTTTCTTATAGAATGTGGCCTGTAGAATCCATAATTCCAAACAGTTCCAAGATCGGACTACTAGATCAAAAGTTACAGCCCTTTGAATTTTTTGTCGAAATTGGTTTTTTGCCCATAACTTTTGATGGAGACGTCTAATCGAAAAAGTACGAATCGTTTTGGATTCTACGCACCCAAATTAATAAGAAAAAGTTTTTTCCCGAGAAATTTTGGTGCAATCGATTTTTGGTAAAAAAGGAAGGTAATAACTGCCTTTTTTTTTGCCCAGAAAAAAAATTGCCTCAGATCGACGGGAAAAAAATATTTTCTTATAGAATGTGGCCTGTAGAATCCATAATTTCAAACAGTTCCAAGATCGGACTACTAGATCAAAAGTTACAACCCTTTGAATTTTTTGTCGAAATTGGTTTTTTCCCCATAAATATACCTATTATTCAAAGTTTTCGTGACTAATTAAAGCAAAAGCAATAAAGGGGCCTGTCAGCAGTAAGAAATAAAATACCGTTCTAATCTAATATTTTTCGCCTGTTTAACCCCCCCCCCCCCCCCCAGAATACATTTCTACGTACGCCACTGTGACCTACTTGGTATATATGGGTGGAAAAGAAAAAGTGCACCCTGTACACCGCGACTAACTATTTTGAAATTGTATCTAGAGTTTGTAGATTTTAAAAAATAATTGATGTATCAAATTTGAAACAATTATCCCAGAACATAAGAGAGGCAACGCAAAATACGAGAAAAATTGAAACCCTGTATAACGAAAATGACGCCCTTTACACCACGCACATATTTGCATTTTTTTCTTACTTTCACCCCCTGAAATATCTGCATGACAATAATTACCACCCTGTATTTTTAAAAACATGCTTGTCAAAAATTCCCATTAGAGAGGCGCAAATTTTGTGCACGCTTACGTGTAACTTTTGCCTTGAGTCGGCCCTGCTACCTATGCTCAAAGCCGAGCAATCGCATCCTCGCGTTTTTCGGTGAGAGATGCACATCGAACGACGATCATTCATAACTCTCGGAACCAACTAACTCGTGGCGACGTATAAGTTTCGAAACTAGCAGTGGACGCATTCCATATTACATACGTTGCGCCTCTACCCTAATCCTTTACTCAACGCTGCAAGGCAGTGGCATAATCTCACAAAAAGCTTGAAATACAAATGCTAACGTGTTAGGTCATTGAAAAGAGAAAAAAATTTCTATCAAATGAGCTTAATGAAAGTGACACACATAGCGTACAATTTTTAGGTGTTACTATCGACGCACATTTAAAATGGGATCACCAAGTTAATACAGTGGCTCAAAAACTAGCCAAAAATATATATATCTTAAAAGTGTTGCAACATGAGGTACTTATCTAGTAAGGTACTGCAATCTGTTTATTTTGCTCTCTGTCATTCTGTAATGTCTTATTCTGTACTTGCATGGGGTCACGCAGCAGATAGTCATAGGGTATTTAGTCTACAGAGAAGAGCGGTAAGAATTCTAGGTCATGTCGGATACAGAGATAACTGTAGAGATTTGTTTAAAAAATTCGAAATCCTTACTTTTCCGTCACTATATATTTTAGAATGCGTTCTATATGTACATACCAGGAAAGACCAGTACTTACAACATAGAGATCTACACTCTCATGACACCCGATCAAAAAATAAGTTGTACACAAACCAATACCGACTAACAAGAACCCTAAACAGTCATTGTCGGCAATCTATTAATTATTATAATCATCTTCTCGACAAAATAACAACTTTGAAGTATGATAACTTCAAACGTACAGTAAAGAAGTGGCTAATCGGAAAAGCATTCTTCTCTACCAGAGAATTTTTAGAGTCTAAATGTTTTGTTTAAGTGTGTTATATCTGATTGTTATCTCTTGCTTTTATTGTGACGTGTGTAAATACTTTATGTATATTCAACACAAATAAAAAATATGAATATGAATATGAATATGTGCGTTGATTTAAAAAAAAAAATTCAATTGTTTTTCGTTATTCATTTGTTCATATAGAAAACATTGTAAACAGTCGATATTTATCTAGATATATACTATATTCCTCAGATTTGTTAATCTGAGCTACATTCCATACATAATGGGCACCCTGTATAATCAAATATTGTTTAATTTAAAAAGAATTGGCTTACATAGTTCTACTAGCAAAAATGAATTACAATTATACCTAAGAACGATATGACGTAGAGTACACAGAAAATGCGATCAATGGTGAGCGCATGTTTATTGATGTTGTGTGTTGTACATATACCACTACTTATGTTCGATCATGCCGTTTATGCAAAAGACAAAATTAAGCAAAATAATAAGTCACAAACACAAGTGGATAAAACAAAGTGAAACAGGCATGAGCAAGCGTCAACCTATCTAAATGACTAAACTCCATTACCGAAAACTGCACTAGCCTTACCTTGTATTGAAGTGATTCCAAAATACGCTGAGCAGCAAGAATAAGAAAAGTTGCAATGTTAAAAGTGTGATCCGAGATTTTTTTTGTTCAAATTGAGACTTGTGGATTGAACTTTTCACAAAAACAAAATAACACTTAACACAAAGAGGTGATTGTATGAAATTGAACAGCAAAAATGGGAAAGTGTGACGTAGGGCACAACAATGCTGGTACTATAAATGTTCGACATATAAACGTTAGTACACCAAAAACCATTAAAAAAGATTAGCAAAATAAAATTCAGGCACTTTCCACATACCTTTCGTTAAATGTCTCCTGGCGGGCGTAATTCTGTAAGCTGCCCTCGTCGATCAAAAATTTCATACGCTCAAAGAACGAGGCCGTAATCGCCGGCGGTTGTTTGCGCAGAAGAATATCTATCGGTTTCGGGGCAGACACACACAACTGTGAGGTTCGACAAAGATGGTTCGAGCAACACTCGGGATCTTCGCAGTCGACTAATCCATCTGAAAAGGGCAAGCCATGGTGTAGTGAGGAAAATAAGGCGAACGTTACCTTTGTCATTATCGCGGCCGTCGCTGCAGTTCTGTTCGAGAAGCACGCTACAATCCTTTCCGTCCCAGCCGCTATCACAGCGGCACTCCCACGAATTCTCAGCGTTAAACCTGCACTGTCCGTGAGACGAGCAAGTGTTAGGGCAACCCTCGAGAGTGCAATGCTTTCCGTTCCATCCGGTCACGCATAAACAAGTTCCGTTCTTGCACTGACCGTGCTCGTTACACCGCGCATCGCATTGTTTCAAATTGCAGTAGTCGCCTGTCCACCCCGGCTCACACTGGCACGTGTCTGAGATGCAACGACCGTGAGAACCACAGTCTAAATCGCACAGTTCTGCAAAGAAACCCAATCACATGCTTGGAAAATGAATTTAATTTACCTTTTGAGCAGTCGTCACCCGACCATCGAGATTCACAGGTACAAGTCTGTGTTTCTAAGTCAAACGTTCCGTGCCCGGAACAGTCGGGCAGACACTGTAATGCCTCTTTGTCGGTCTCTCCGCAGTCTAAGCCTTTCCATCCTTTTTTACAGAAGCAGGTCCCTTCTATACAGAAGCCGTGCCCTGAGCATGTCGGATGAGGACAGTCGACTAATAAACAAAAGATGATGATTAGGTACTCATGCCGCCCAAGTCGATTATAAAGTGATAATTAGTAAAGTGCATGCATATTGTTAATTAGACAAGTTTCCTCACCCTCTTCACAAAATTTCCCTTTATAACCACGCACGCATGCGCATTTTCCATTAACACAGTGACCATGCCCATTGCAATCGGGCACTTCGCATTCATCATGTCTCAAGGAGCATTCCTTGCCTTTCCATCCTGGATTACATTGACATTCACCGTTAATATACTCCCCTCGCTGGCTGCACAGAACGGGGCATACACCTGATAACGAGAGTTTTAGTCATGCTAAGCGTTAGTGTGCCAATCGCATCAGGCGTGCAAAGTTAAGACTTACTTTCGCTACAGTCATCGCCACCGAAGCCGGGATTACATTGGCAGTGCCCCATTAAACATTCGCCCTTTCCGCTACACCCATTCGGACAATTGTGGGTCATATCGTCGGCAACTGTGGCAATGAACGCGATCTCTTGAACGTCACCGTCGTCATTGTACAAAGACAAAAACCAGTGCCCCTGCTCCATATAATGCGTGACCTCCTTACGCACCGACGGCTGAAGAAATTATAGCTTTAGTGCAAAAAGTGGAGAGTGCACAATAATCGCACTCACATGTGACGCTCTGGTCGTGCGAGCTTTAAATCCGCTCAAAACCTCCAATATGTGATACTGAGTGTGCGTCGGTAACGCATTTCTTCGGGCGTAAACGCCTATACTGGCACCACGCGGAATGTTATAATCGAATTTAACGTACGCGGCTTCCGACTGATAAAACTGCATGTTCCAGTAACTATAAGGTAAAATCTCTTTTGATAAACGCTGACCTAACGATATTTGAGAAAACGTGGTGCCGTCCGGTGGGAAGGACTGAGCCGGAAATGTTCGTCCACCTAAAGAAGAAGGGAATATACATTAGTAATATTAAATTAAGCAGAAGCTAGGACGATTGTTAAGAAATGCGGCTAATAAAGCGATTCGCAATTTACAAGAGTAATGTAATAGCGATGATTATACCTGCAAAGCGTTTATTTATAACACATGGGATTAAGTACGTTAACCTAATCTCAACCTCGCACTCAGGAACTACGTTGGCTTATAGAATTCAAATTTTCTCGTATTGCCTTCGGACTGTTAAATGACATCTTATACTCTCAGAGTGTACTTACAATCATGATTCAACTTTCTGATTGGTCAAAGAAAAAAATAAATTAGATTTACCAAAAGAGGGTGGTAACAGCAGAAAAATAAACTTCTTCATTGAAAAAGAGTAACATATAATTTGATTCATATTGCACTAACCTGAAACCGCCTAACAGAATGCAGTAACTCAGTGCATAGGTACCTATGCTAAGATTCCACGTAAGGATACATTTTTTTAGCAATCTTGATATGAAAACAAACACATTGCAAATGGGTTGCCTAAAAAAGATTACCCAAATTCTCTAGTTCTATTTCTATCTCATGGAGAGAGCGCATGCGCACCCTCTTACAACAATTCGTACACCACGACCAGCTGTTACGCTGCATCCTTCTCTTTCACACGGAACTAAGTAACGCACGACAGAGAAATATGTGTATTATTCCCTGTGAAAGAGGGCGCAACGTAACAGCTGCCCGTGGTGTAAGCATCGATGTAACAGAGTGCGCATGCGCTCTTTCCATGTCATTAGAAGCCGATAGAAATATTTTAATTAAGCGTAGTCTCGATTTAATTTTTTTAGGCAACCCATTTGCAATAATGGGTGCTTACATATTAAGATTCCTAAAAAATGTATCTCATTCATTCATTCATTCAGTAAACAAATAAGTGATGGTTGACCTCATGTGGGATCTTGTGTTCAAGGAGTATCCATAGTACTGTATTATCATAGCCTGCCATCTCCTAGTGCCAGTAAAAACTAAAAGTTGTCACATAAAAGTTAAAAGTTCAAACTTGTATTATCAGAAGTGGGATATTAAAAAAAAACCGTTATCGTTAGTGTAGTGCACAACAAAGATCGACATGGCATAAGAGTTATCAGCGGAACCTCTTCAAACGCTTTCGGGGATGATTGTTGCCGCTATCCGTGATTCTACAATCCGGAACTCTTTCATACAGCGAGATACAATCAAGATTGACCATCAAATTTGGCGCCATTTGAAACAAGTGCGCAGAAAGCATAAAATTCTGCGACATTCACCAGATGGCAGGAGGTTCAGACAAGGAGCATGAATGAAGGAACATTATCTCCTCAACCCAGACCACCATAATTCCCGATGCCACCGTATCGTGCTGCTAACGGAACAACTGGGTATATCGGACTACTTCACGCGATTTACTTGTGCACTTGGCTTGAGTAAGGTACCAGACGGTGAACATTGACGCATCTACATGGGCATCGAACTACAGGAGCCTTTGAAAATCCTAGTGAGTCCTAACAATCCGGAAACTCTCTCATACAGAGAGATCCAATCAAGATTGACCAATCATTTTGACGCCATTCGAAACAAATATGCAGAAAGAAAAAAATTCCGCGACATTTACTAGTAGATGGCATGAGAATCGATCGGTTGATGCAAAAGGACCAACATACTGCGAGTAGGGTAATTTTTTACACCGCATGTCGACCGAACAGCTACGGAAAGGCCTTGAATCGAAGGGAATGTGTTTACAAGATCATCTCTCGAAAACCGCCGGGTACGAGATTGCGTACGCACTTGAAGCCACCCGTAACATCGCAGACGAAAGGAGTCGCAACAAATCCTTACTTGACCAATCGAATTGCTTATGAAAAGCAGTGAGTAAAAATGCCATAAGGTTTATAAACCGACGGCAAAGGTTTGGCCGACCAAAATTCACAGACGACCAATATACAGTCGTCGAGTTACATGCGCTGTGTGTGGCGAGAACCATCACTGGCACCAGTGTAAGTTTCTGGATGCAGAATGTCTGAAGTGTGGTAAGAACATATTGCCATGGACTGCAGGTCTAAACCAAAGCAACGAAGGGCGCACCAGCTTACCGAAGAACAGAGTCTAAACCCAAGCAACGAAGGGCGCACCAGCTTACCGAAGAACAGAGTCGAACTTATCAGATCCCAGTCTATGGGGAAGAATTTTATACATGCCACCATAGATGCAACACAGTCAAGATGAACACCAGTGCTCCTTGCACATGATGAGCAAGCAGAGATTAGGCCATCGCATCAATTGCATCGGTAAGATTTTTCCGTACCACCTCCAGGATGAATCTCGACCTTTCCATCGTCGATGATGCATTCGAAGCGCTTCTTGGGTGAGAGTAGATCTCACAGTTTGTGCAACCACGGTCAATCCACAAACTGACCAACCTGTCCCCAAACCAGCAGAAAGAGCTCGGTGTCATCCTCAATTGCTACGACGTTTTCAGTGGCTCACCTGCAAAAATTCAGCGGAAAGATGGCACCACGCTCATCTTTTCGAAAGCAGGCGATGTTCCTGTAGCCCTGTGAGCAGCTTACAATAAGGAAATCGACGCCATCGGGATTCTACAAGAAGGTAGCCTACTCCGAGTAGGCGTAAACAACAGTACATATTATCATAAAGAAGAAAGAAAAATTAAGAATCACGAGCAGCTATTAATCTCAATCCACGGGTAAATTCAGCCACGCCTTGACGCTTAATACCCCAACATGTAGTCTAATTTGCCCAACCCGTGCCATATATCGTGCAGCCAACATTCCCGCTTTCTGGCAGCGCCGAATGGAAATGGTGATGTAGGACCTCTCCAATGTTGTAAGTTTATTCGACGAAATTATAGCATTTGCCAACGGTTTTGGAAAACTGATGCAGACTCGAACCCGCAACACTGGAGCGTTTCCGCCAACGTGGTCTTAAGATCAACCAAGCGAAGTGTGAGTCCATCTTGGAATTCCTGGGTCATAAAATCGACGCAAATGGCGTTCACAAGCAGATGCCTATTCAGACCTGTACTAGATGCGCCCAAGTCAAAGTCACCAGAAGAACTCCAGTTATTTTTGGGTAAGGCCACCTACATCTCTAACCTTTCAAAGACTGACCGGCCACTTAGGGATATTTGTTACTGAAAGATCCATTCGTTGGGACACCAGAGGACGACAACGCCTATGAAGATATTAAAAAATGCTCTAATCTCACCAAAGATACTCACACAACAGATGCCATCAAAACAGGACTGGGAGCAGTGCTTTCGCATCAACTCAGCAACGGGTAAGAACGACCGATTGCATATGCTAGGCGCCATTTTACGTTGATCACGGATCACAAACCTTTGACGCGATTCTGCATCACGAAAAGTCGCTTCCAGTCCGGTGGGCATTAGTCGCGCTTCAACTAAGACGTCATCTTCAAGGCGTCAAAACAAAACGTAAATGCCGATTACTGTTCCAGAGTACCCCTTTTTATCCTCCACCAACCAGAACCAAAGCTCAACTTCGCCAGAAAGTGAAGAGGTGCAGGACGATTTTGACATATTCGCAGTTAACCGGCAGCTTCCGATCACATCTGAAATCATCGCACTCGAAACCAGAAGGATCCTCACCTCGCCAGAATCATCCAACTCCAACATCCAACGGAGGGACAAGATCTTTCCCGGCACAAATTCAAGGCACCTGAGGTAAAATAAAACTGCCTAATATTGGGCATCGAGTGGTAGTTCCACCGCAACGAATCGGAATTGTCAAAATGGCACGTTCTTTTGTGTTATTTGGCGAGGCATCGACATGGACAATCGCCGAGAGGTTCAAGATCTTCCTAAAAAGCAGTGGCGTGAAATACCACAAACGGACAGCACCGTATCATCCATCCACCAATAGACAAGCAGGGCGCTATGTTCAAACGGTTCAAGACACTCTATACCTATGCTATGGGAACTACGAAAGGAACCGGTTAGCCAATTCCTATGCTAATTCCGTAAGGCGCCACACTACCACCACTGGACAGCCTCCAAAGCGCAACGGTTCTTGGGATGCGAACTCCGAACGCGTCTCAACCTGGCAGGACCCGATAACATTCACACCACAGTCTCGGAAAAACGATGGACATTTCGGACTCTTGAAGCTGATCAAACTTTTGATCCAACGGGAATACCTTCGATATCAAACCGCGAATACCTTGGAAACCGTACTCTCAGACCGGACCTCTCGAAAAGTAATTCCCACTCAATTATTGAGTAACTTTACCCACGCCCACAAAATGGCAGAACATTTTTAAAATAATAATAATAATAATAATAAATGACTTCAATAGACAATTTCTATACAGGGCCTGTCTAAATGGCGGAATTCAGACAGGGATATCATCCGTGTCTGCTCTTCCACTCAACCTTGGGGATACATAATTTTTATTGGTTAGTGACTTTCTTTCCACCAATCCCGAGCTAGTCTTAATGTCGTTAATCATTGATCTAAGCCCTAAGGGACTGTAACGTTACGCAGTTATTAAAAAGTAGGTAATTTTGAGCCCTTACCCAAACTCCTTGACGCGACAGACGATTAGAGACAATTAACAGAACAAAAGAAGCATTGATAATGACCATGTCATCATCAGATTGATTCCAATAATCAAAATGAAAACTAATATTAGTAATATTTGTCTAGAAGGCTGTTCCAGAACCTTGACTTTGGATGCGGTCAGCGGACAACAGCGACAAATCATAAGTAAGCTCGAGTAGTAATGGGAGGAGGGTTAGCATAATTGTTTCAAATATCAATAAAGACCTATTTTGAGCTCCGGTACTAGCTCTAGCAGATTGGCTGTTTAAATTTGGTTCATTTTGTATGAGAGATTACGTAAAAAAAAAAGGGGGAGTGTAAGGTATCAAGACTGATGTTTAGAATATGTAAAACGATATGTCGTGCACATCCATTGGTTTTCCATATCATATGACTGTATTATAGTGAAACTTATGCAAAGGAGTACCGTTTTTTTGATTACAAAGACTTCATCGCTACAATTAGTAGATTCTCAACGAATAATCGCATCACAAACTACCACTACCTACTAAGAAAGGACAATAAGTGCGTTGGTCATGCATGACATTAAGTTAGAATAGTGCAATGAAATACTAAACTCGGTTAGTTGGCGCAAGCACATTTAAAACGACACAACCCTACCTTCAAGTATAAGAATGGTAGGAAGACAAGGTAACTTCATACTACTAACATCGGAAGAAACGGTTTCGGTGCTAGTCACTTCCGGCGTGGTATCCGTATACGTGGTAGCGTCTTCCGTGCTACTCGTAGTGTTCTCTACGTCTAGCACGTCGGTATCGGTCTCATTCTCTGCAAAAACGTTGTCATCATCTAAACACGGACAAGAGCATCTACATTGACCGCCCCAATGCGGGTGTGGTTCTTCTTTATTAATCGCAACACTCGCGTTGTTAGTTTGCGGCTCGTTCTCTTTGGGTTTTTGCATTAAACTAGCCGGCTCTAATTGCGGATGGAGATTAATTTCGGGATACTTATCACCAACTGTCGGTATGGATAGCGATAACACATAGAAAGGTTGGCTCGCACCGGACTGGGCACCGATCGATACATTAATGAAAAGATTAGAAGTGTTTAGTGATGGTAGTTGAAGCACATTTGTATTAGGGATAGGGTTAGTACCAGCATGCATCCCAGTATCAACGGTCTTGTTGTGTACAGATTTCGCTTGTTCGCCCAGTTTGACGATTTCAATTTCTTCATCGCCATAGGAATATACGGGATAGTCGTGTTGCATTAGATCTAAGTCGGCTATTTCAGATTGGAAACTCCGTTCTGTAGTTTCAGTCGTAATTTCAATCGAATTAATGTCAGTGGTGGTTTCTGAAGGAGCTTCTGTTACCGTGGTAGTTTCTTCGGTACTACCATCAACGCTAAGATTTTCAAGCGATAAACTGGTGGATTTAACGTCATGCAAAGGTGCAATTGTGTTCGATGGGTCAAAACTAGCATGCGTACTACTAACGTGCCCGTTAACACTTATGTTATTATTATTGTGTGATACATTGTGTAAGAACACAGAGGCATGCGGAGTATTATCACTATTTCTGCGTTTCCTAGAGAAGATGAAAAGATGATTACCTCCAGACATGGGTCGAGGTTTGCTAGACGTTGAGAGATTTGTTTCGGATGTCGTCGTTTTCGACGTGGGAACTTCCGAATTTTCGCCTACTAAAACTGTACACGTTTTTGTCGTCTGATATGACCAGTTTAATAAACTCGAAGCTGCAAGTAAAGAATTAAGCGGTTATCGCCGACCAGATCTCACTTTCTTACCCGAAACGTACGTTAACGCTGCGATCAAAACAATCGAAAGAACTACAAAAAATATCGCCGTGCACTTCCAGCTGCATTTAGACGCGAGCCCTTTTTGAAAATGGAATCGACTCGCCGGCGGAAAATGGCTGGAGTTGGGGCGGCGTAAATTATTGCGGACGGGTAGGACTGGTACTGGGGTCCCGTATGGAAGACCACATCTATCAGAGTTCTTCATATCTTTCGAAGGACTACTGCACGATGAATTTGATTTATAATCCATTGTTGGATTCTTTGAATGATCTGGAAAAAAATGGTGGGTGTTAAATTGGTACATTGTTACGAAGGTACACTATTAACATTCTGAGACGAGACGAGATGTGTATCATTACAACCGATTGTTGTTTTTTAATAGCTTACCTTTTTACATGTATATTATCTGATCAAATTTCTTTGTGGCACCTACATATGTTATTTCGTGTATGCGTAGGTAGTGAATCCGATAATGATCCTAAACTATACTGTTGCTCTATGTTAAACTTCAGCGGAAAAGGCGTAAAGGGTTTCAATGAAATTTTTATCTTCTCAATTATGGCTTGCTTAAATAGGCGTGGGTTTTCGAAACTGTAGCTCACTGTCTAGATAGAAAAGAGAAGAGGCAATGTGTCTTAAAATGATATTCATTAATTATCCCTATGCCTTTTGGAGCAGTGGGAAAAGAAAAATTGCCTACACTCAATCATACGTTGGTCACCGTTGATAGAATTAGAAACTATCCCTTTTGTTGAACAGTCCCCCAAAATTCAAATCCAAAAAGGGCGGTGGTTACTAACAACTAGTATTTTCAATTCCATAGTTAGGTTAGTTGTTTTTCTATCACGTTCTTTTTAGCTTCCCAACATGAGCTGGGGTAGCTCACCGTTTTTTGGACATGTCAAAATTCTATCAAATGTCGACGTTTTACAAAGCAACGTTCAAGGAATATTTTTTTCCGTCTGTATGTACAACCATCGATAATCGATAATCGAAAACTTACTGCCATTTAGGCAACGAACCATGCGTTATCTAAAATGGCAACGTTGAAGCGTAAGTTTTCCGGCAGGGATTCGTGTGGGAAGAAACGCAGTGCACACATCCCATACGAATCCCCGCCATTTTAGATCGTGTATGGTTGTTTACAAAGTGGCAGTAAGCTTCCGATTATCATTTCTTTCGTCGGTGATCATACGTACGTATGTTGTCAATTTTCCGAGGTAACGGCTCGACGGATTCGGTTCAAATTTTGGATACGTATATTAGGCATAAGGAAATGGAAAAGACCGGGCCGGATTTTAGAAAAAAAATTTTGGATCGGTGCAACGGCATCGAATTTTTTTTTTTCAAAAAGCAACCTAAAATTTTCAAATGACCTTATTTTTCTGTGAACCTACAACGTACAAAAATTGTGCCAGATTTTATTACACAAAAACTGAGAAAAGAAATGTCAAAGTTAAAAAACAAATTAAAGTTTTTTCGTCAAAACTAAATTAATTCTAATTAGGAATTACAATTATTAATTATATCAACATATTAAAATCAAAAACAAACTACAAACTACAAACCATTGAATCACAATTGATACAAAACTCTACAGGAGAACATTTAAGAAAACGAATTGAATTGTGTTTGCAACACGAAGGCGCTCATTTTGAGCATGTGTTGAAGAAGAGAGGGTTTTAAAATAATTTGATCTTGTCTTCATATAATTTGTGTTTTCCAATTAGTTGATAACTTTGTTGGCTTTTTATTAATTAATTATTTAGATTAGAATCAAGTAGGTATATTAAAGAATCCTTTCCATGATTTGTTTAAAATTCGATTGTCACAAAAATCATGGCCGACTACTAAAAACAAAATCCGAAAAAAAATGGTATTGATTCAATTCAGAAACTATTAAAGATAGCTATAGGAACATGTAAAATATTGCGATTTTGATTCTCTATCTAATGCAATAGTAAGAAAATGGTCATTTCATTAAAAAAACTGAGTTTTTAGTCTGAAATTTCTTAAATTTGGATATCCATAGCGGTCGTATGGAACCTAACTTTTTTTAAATACACATCTTTCTCTATGCACTGTTAAAAATGCGTTACGATAACTACAACCGTTATCAAGTAATCAATCATCAAGGTACCGTCCACATTCGCCATTTTTTTAAAATCAAAATAACTTAAAAACCATAAATTGTAGATATCGATATGTGGGTATCAAAAGAACTGAAATTTCACGTAGAATCCAAAAATGCAATAAAATATTTCCCAGCATGAGCTAGGGTAGCTCCTAGCTCACCGTTTTTTTGGACATGTCAAAATTCCATCAAATGTCGACGTTTTACAAAGCAACTTTCAACTTTCAAGAAATTAGGCAACTAACCATACGTTATTTAAAATGGCAACGTTGAAGTGCAAGTTTTCCGGCAGGGATTCGAATCCCCGCCATTTTAGATCGTGTATGGTTGGTTGCCTAAGTATAAAAATTGTGCCAGGTTTTATTACAGAAAAATTGAGAAAAGAAATGTCAAAGTTAAAAAACAAATTAAAGTTTTTTCGCCAAAACTAAATTAATTCTAATTAGGAATTACAATTATTAATTATATTACCATATTAAAATCAAAAACAAACTACAAACCATTGAATAAAGTGATACAAAACTCTACAGGAAAACGTTTAAGAAAAAGGAATGAATTGTATTTGAAACACGAATGCGCTCATTTTGAGCATGTGTTGAAGAGGAGAGAGTGTTTTAATAGTATATTGAAAGACAAGTGTTACAATGCGACCTATTGTAATACGACAATCTTGTGGCACGAGTGGCGACGCGAAGCGTAGCCACGAGTGTCCGCAAGATAGGAGTATTACAATAAAGCATTGTAACACGCGTTTTTCATACTATTTTTTCTATTTCGGTGCTTTAATTTAATTAAAAAAATCATTATCAGAAACTATAGGGAACATTAGAACTAACATGTTTTATGTTGGGAACACTTTTTATGCAGTTAAGTTTTAGGTTGCCAGCGTAGTAAGACTGGCATTTTGAAGTTCAAACATGGAAGTACCCAACGAAGTACCTAACTTGTACTAACTAGTAACTGCCAACTTAAGAGATGAGTTACCAAAAAAAAACGACTATAATCACTGTCTTCATTGTGACACCGAAATAGAAAAAATAATTTGATCTTGTCTTCATATAATTTGTGTTTTCCAATTAGTTGATAACTTTGTTGGCTTTTTATTAATTAATTATTTAGATTAGAATCAAGTAGGTATATTAAAGAATCCTTTTCCATGATTTGTTTAAAATTCGATTGTCACAAAAATCATGGCCGACTACTAAAAACAAAATCCAAAAAAAATGGTATCAATTCAATTCAGAAACTATAATAGATAGCTATAGGAACGTGTAATATTAAAATATTGCAATTTTGATTCCGTATCTAATGCAATAGTAAGAAAATGGTCATTTCATTAAAAAAACTAAGTTTTTAGTCTTTGAAATTTCTTAAATTTAGATATCCATAGCGGTCGTATGGAACCTAACTTTTTTTAAATACACATCTTTCTCTATGCACTGTTAAAAATGCGTTACCATAACTACAACCGTTTTCAAGTAATCAATCCATTTTTTTTAAAAATCAAAATAACTTAAAAACCATAAATTGTAGATATCGATATGTGGGTATCAAAAGAACTGAAATTTCACGTAGAATCCAAAAATGCAATAAAATATTTCAGGAAGTGCGACCATTTTGAACATATTTTACATCGATTCGGCCTTCAGAGTAACGCCTAAGTACAGATTTTCAAAAACCTACCTATTTCACTTTCGCAGAAATGTTAAATTCTCTGAAGCTTCCAAAAAAACACCCTGTATTGCATTTTCTATGTAGGTAAATGAATGTAATTTGTAAGAAATTTGTAAATACAGGGTGTTTCATTTATTTATAGTAAAAAAATTCAAGGGCAAATCGAGAAAAGCAAAATATAAGATACGTGATTCACGATTTGGTCCCTGGATCTTTAGTTTTCTGTATCATCAAATGGTGGAATTTTGACAATCGTTTGACTTGGGCATCCCTATTGGATAACTATTTCAAATTTGAGCTAAATACCTTTGAAATTGCAGGAGCTATAAAGAAAAAAGTGAACAAATGTTGAAATTTCAACACCCTGTACTCACAAAAAAATAAACCAAAGAATTGCCTCCATCAGCTTGTTTGTACAGGACACTTAGAAACACCTAAGTATATTTTATTGCGTTTTCACAGACTATCCCACATAACATTGAATATTTCTGTAATATACCAGGGAGGGACATTCAAAAAGGTATATTTGAGCATGTATTAAATATACCTAGATGCGAATGGGAATACCTCAGATATTCTGAGAATAAACTTAAAAGAATATTCTTTTGTATATGACGTATGTAAGGGTACGAATTGTGAACATAAACTTGAAAGAACGGTATCCATTTTTTCTCGATATTCTTAGAACATGGTTTACACCCACTACTCTACATATGAAATTTGGAAGTATGAAATATGAATATTTACAGGACATTCATAAAGTTATTAGAATAGGTATGTAGTACACAATACAATCCACAAGACCATGCCATGAGTACCTACAGGTAAGGCGCATTAGGAACTAAACTCTTATAATAAGAACGGAACATAATATTCCTGGAGATGATATACACTATGAAATATCGTACTAAATGGAAATGTTTGTAGTGGCGACATCTAAATAAACTAAGATCTGTAAACTGCATATTAGTCACTTTATTACATTACATTACAAGTGCATAATTGACCTATAATAAAAATAATTTTTAATTCAAAACCAATGTCTAACGAACTAGTTACCTAAAAGAGACATTTTGTGTCGTATATTTGACATGTGGTTATGACACAACGAATATTCCCCGTAGATCCAGGGAATTTTGTAACAGAATATCCAATACCGAAAAATCATGGAATATAATTAATAGTGTGTTCTCAGTTAATAGTGTATTTTCAGTATATGTATATATGCCAGTAGAACGTTCTATGGATATTTGGAATATTCACATACCTTCTTTCTAGCATGTTAAAAGGAATATTGTAAGATTATCCAATCTTATCTGGGATGTATTGCCGTTGTCGAGAAAATTAGTTCTAAGAGAAACAATTGCAGAATATTTTCTTAAAAAAAGAACACACACGACGCGAATTTCGTGACTTGGGGCTTTAATCACTTTTTAAAAGATCGCAGAGGGAAAATTTGTTGAGTCCTGTAGCAAGAAAAAGATGCACAAAACAATAGAAGGAATCCAAAACAAAGCAACTCTCAATTATGTACCTACCAATAAAAACTTGACCAGAATTAATAAACGTTTAAAATATAACATCGAAATTACATTAAATTGTGTACGAGGTGAACAAAAATGTTCTTATGGGCGCAATTTGGTGTTTAGTTATAAAACGGCAACAAACTAATATGACTTTTGGCAGGATGTAAGACTGTTAAATATTTGCGTTGAGCTAGGAAGCTACTCTGTCAATAATTTGGCATACTGGTTTTATTGGTGATGATTAATGGAGCATAATCGAAACACTCAAAAAATTTACGGGAATTCATGCTTGGATTAAGTAAGGTAATTGTTAATTAAAGAAATGGAAATCAGGTTTTTTTACAGAACGAAAGCGTAGTAAATTTTAATTATCCTAGGTAAATTCGCCCACAGAAAATTCCCCCCGCGAAACGTTCCGAGAATTCGCCATGAAAATGCCACTGCATAATACATATAGGGATTTCCTATCGAGAATATGGATAACGTAATGAACGACATTCACCTTCTCCCATACGTAGTGAAATGTGATTAGTCCAGGTGAGTTGGTTGTTCATAACATTACCTAAAAAAATTGGGATACATCGGGCATTTTACGTAGCATTTGGACGGATATTATTTTCGTCAAAGTGGAGACTCACTGTTTTTTCCATGATTAATTTTAAACGACTTCTGGCTTACTAGTCATTTAATTCGTCTTCTACTTGGGTGAGCCTTTGAATGTTATCTAAGCTCAGCTATAGTGGTGTCATCCACGAAGGAATAAAATTCGGCAGGTCGTTTATTTACAGTAGAAATATTAAAGGACCTAACACCGATCCTTGTGGAACGCCCTTATTGACACAGTCAGAAATCTACAATGCAGGTATATATCGAGAATAAGCTAAACGTCGACGGATGCGCTGGTTACCATTGGGTCAGCCAATGGGATACTCAGTGGCGGATTTACAAATTTGCCACCAGAAGGATATTCCATTTTGGGCGCCTCGATTGACTAACTGAAATTCGGTAAAAATTAATATCATTTATTCTAACAGTGAAATTGCAACTTTGATTTGTGTTGTATCGTCTTCATTAAAACAGATTTTCCCTTATTAGCATGATTATTGTGAACTAGGCCCTAGGGGATCGTTGTGTCAGTTTCTAGATTATTTTTACAATCCACGATTTAGTGAAAATTACACGAGAAATTATTTTTGGGTAACTTCTGAGCTAAAAAAGCTCAATCACGTACCGATTGTAAGATGCAGTAAGGTATGCTTTAAAAATTCTTGCACCAATAGGAACACAGCTTACACAAAACTACTAAATTGTAATATTGGATGGCTATGGGAATATTTTAAAAATTCGTGATTTTCAAGTATGTTTTACAGAGCGTTTAGTAATCCTTCATATACAGAAACTTTTTAGTTGGTGTAGGTGGGGCCTAGGACGTTAATGCGGGCGAGTTTTCTCTTATGTCATTCTGGTTTCCACTTTCTACCCTAGAAACGATTTTGACCATATTTCGATATCATCTTTTGTTTTTGAAGTATAGCTTATTATGTTTTTAAATTGGGACTCTACACCATGGTCCCTTAAACTTTTATCTTTAGAGCGGGGTTACATGTAAATTAGTAGTCTGATTTGCGTCACAGAATCGCACAAATGAACACTAGTCGCAACATGCCCCATGTAGTGGCTTTACCCACAACGGTAACGATTCTACGTCACTAGTTTTAGTGTAACTAGTGACGAATAGTGAAATGGTTGACTTAAAAAACCTACGTAGAGAATAAACAAAGTAAAAGTTTGCTTACTTAACGTATTTGTCGGTATATATACATTGCCAGACGGCGTGCGCACCAAACAAGATGGTTCGAAATCCTCATTGGGCGCAGACGGCTGTGAGGCTAAACGCCCATTAAGTCTATTCATGGTTGGATTTCTTGGTGGTACATCGGGAGGTCTCGGAGTGGTGTCCAGAAGACAACCTGCAAATAATAAATTCATTAAGTTACAAAGAAATGAATGAATCAGACCTTACTAAGAAAAATTAAGAATTTTTATTGTACGACATTATGCTAATCGGCACATTTTCAGAAATATACCCAACATAGCATTTCTTAAAATAATTAATAAAAAGGTGTCCGTCATTCATGTAATTACAGAAAATGATAATTTCTATTGTTTAAAAATGAGAATGGTGTATCTATTTCATTTTTGCAGTAAGTACCTAGCAAATTGGTAGTGAAGCTGTGACTATTAGATATAACGTAAGCATTGGTTTTTTATTTGATATCTTGTTGTCATGTAACAAAATGAGTTCAGAAAATACTAGCAGTCCCGTTTTTTCCCGTACTCCGTTTTCGTGGGAATTTCGGGAAGCCTCCTGGTTTTTTTCCTGTTCCCGTTCCCGTTTGAAGTGTGAAAAGTGTTTTACTACACCAGAAACCTTCGTGGGCATACGTAATTGATACGTTTGACTGTCTAATTTTTCGACGGTTATACAGCCGTAGTAGATCTCTCTTTGGAGCCATCGTAGTTTTTACGTTACACACGTTTCATTATCATTACCAATTTCCGGACGAAGAATGTTGCATTATCCCTGTGAAGGAACATTTTGGCAGTACTAAGAGGATCGCTTTCCTGTAAAATTAATTTTGTAATTTCGACTGTATTCACTAAATCTGTGCTAGTTAAAATGTTGTAACCAGTAAAGAAAATTTCCTGATCAGTAAGAACGTTAAAACAACTCCCAACGTTTCGCTATTTTCGAAATTTTACCCGGACTTTACAATTTCAAGAAGATTTTAAGACCGCAACCTTTCTCAACATTCAATCCAGCTGATTCCGTCGACCAATGTAAATTTCAAGAAATTGCTACTGGAAACGTTTGGAAAAAAGAGTTAGACTAGGAGAGATTTAATTGAGTTAAGCTTAAGGAGAACATTTGTAAGGATTGAGTTTGATTTTATCAATATAGATACAGTGGGTTCCTTCTCAGCAGCATATGATATCCGTTCTTACCCTTGTTCTACTCACACTGTTTTTGTTGCTCCATGATACACTCACCATGGTGGAGGAATCTCAATAATCAACATTACACTAAATTTCTAGATCTTAAGTTGGCGGAAACCGACATCTTGAAAAGGATGAAACGCGAACTAACAGCCCCCGATGGGGGATGGGGTTACGTGATCGTTGCGGCAATTGCCATCACTAATGTACATCTTTGGATACAAATGTGGGACGACTAACTGCCGATTTATAACCGTAGGGAGTGTCCGCGCTGCCGGTCGTCACCTTTGGAATTGTTTACGGAGAATTTCTGAAAAGCGTAGGGGACGAGATTGCAAATTCGGCACTCGCCAGCGGCATATGTTTCGCCACGCAGTGGATTTCAGGTAGCGAACTCTGGCGGCTTTGATAATTTAACTCCCAATTTTTAGGGCTGGCAGCGAATCTGCTCTTGAGAAGGATCTCCTATCGCACAACGGGAGTGCTTGGTGCCCTCCTGACGTTCACCGGTACGTTTGGTATCAGCTTTGTAACCAGTTTCGAGCAGTTCGTGTTTTGCTTCTCCATTATGCTGCGTTAGTATATTCCGCGGTCGGTTGCGGACCATGATGCTTTGGTTATTTTAGCGATGGGCTGCGGGTTAACGTTAGCGGCAATGCTGACGGCGTTCAATCTTTACTTTGACAAGAAAAGGACGGTCGCCTATAATTTGGGGAGTGCCGTCACGATACCCATAACAGTTCTGTTTCCATCACTGGGCTCGTTCCTTGTGCAGCGTTTCGGATTTCGAGGAGCCAATGTTATTCACGCCGCTATAATGCTCCACTGCTTACCGGCGATGTTATGTCTACATCCCATAGAATGGCACGTCGATAAACAGAAGGTAAACGAGCGAAATGGTGCCCAATATTCCGGCTTTATAGTTCAGTGGTAGAGCGTTGGGCTATAAATCCAGAGGTCGGGTGTTCGAACCTGGGTTGAGGTGAACTTTTAATCTGTGGCAGAGATGGGAATTACCTTAGACCAGTTTCGCGGCTACTCAGAATTAGGTTTTCCTAATTCGTAAGGTAAATGCCGGAGTAGTATAGAACAACCTAAGACCTTCTGCAGAGGTACCTCTAAAAAAAGTCTGTTGAGGGCTCAGAACAAGAGAGGGATAATAAATAAATAAATAAATAAAAATAACATTTTAGGTGGCCCCAGAAGCCGGAAAGTTTCTCTTAGGAGACGTGGAAAGGAAACGAAAATTTTGGTAAGTTTTCGATGGAAGAATAATTTGTGTACGGATCACTTTAGGGAAGGCCTCGGTTTGGGGTTATTCACAGATCCCACCTACGTTAATATTGTGTTGGGAATCTCACTGTGTCTGTCATCGGATTTTTTCTTCATGACTACCTTACCATCACTTTTAGCAAATTTTAAAGTGACAATAGAAGACACGACCATTCTGATGACCGCGTTTTTTACGGCGGATATAGTTGGAAGACTTTGCCTTTTCGGGGTTACTGCCTGCACGGAAGTCAAAAATCGCCTGTTGCTCATGATAGGCGCCATACTCATAGCTTGTGCACGTACTGGTAGGTATTTATCAAAGGTTCCTTCGGGTAATCAACGTGATTAGGTTTTATATTAAACCACCCCTTCTGGCCGATGGTCGCCTGCACGACCGTAATGGGTTTGCTCCGATGCTCGCTGAAAGCAACTTATCCATTGATATTCGCAGAGTTGTATTCAACTAAATTTGCTGGTGCATTCTCCTTATTTATGGTCAGTTGTGGGGTTGTGTCAATTTCGACTGGATGTTTGATTGGTGAGTATTGACCATTTGAATCACAATAATCCTCCATTTCAGGCGTACTCAAAAATGCGACCCAAAGTAACGAAATGGTGGGACATTTTTTAACGGCCATGCAACTATTTTGTCCACTTTCGTGGGTAATAGAAATTTTTGTTAAAAAAATAAAGTGTTAATGAGATACATAGTTTAATTTTACTGATCCCCTTATTACAAAGTTAACAACTTGCCGCATTAATTATTAAAAATGAGGAGGGGGAGGGGTCGTGCTTCATCTGCTCGTGTCAGGATACCAGTACCAAGGCACGGATTTAATAATAAAAATTAGTGAAGATGAAGCTCATCTTGGCTGCGTTGTTTAATTAGAATGAAGCATTGTTTCTTAATGGGTTTCGGAAACCTTTCCTCTTAATTAATGTTATTAGGTTACAATTGCAAGTCAGCATGAGATCACGCATATATCGTATAGAGCGAATTCGGCTGAATTTCAGTGGAAAAGCTCAACCTCTCTCTTATGGGCTTTTGTGAATATGATAATTCCCGTTGGCACAATTAAAAACATGGCGGACTTAATTACTACACGTGATATAAAATAGAGGCGGTACTAAATAATACCAAATAGAGCGTTTGAGCAAGCAAGGCGACCAGTTGGTCCATAAAAAAAATTTGGAATAACTCGTGTCTTGGTCAGGGGAAAGTCAATCGGCCTAAAACAACTCTATTGATTGTGCGAGTAGATTATTTGACTCTAGAATGAGCTCTTCTTAACACTCAGGCCAGGTAAGTACGCGAGAACGGAAGAATTTTGTCACTATATTTATGTACATCCCGATTGGGCTGCGAAAAATGATCGATAATTACCGACATATCGATTCTTTTCGCAACCCTAAGCAATGAGGTACGGAAACATGAAGAACTGATGAAACGGATAGCAAAACTGGAAATGGAAATGAAAGAAAGGAATAGTATAACGAAAAAATTAGTAAAGATGCGAAAAGGAAAAGAGAGAAAGCACGGAGGAATGGCTAAAACAAAACCTACAAGTAAAGGCAAAAGTAAAAGAGACGAGAACAATGAAAGTAGGTCATAATCGCGGAATAAACATGGGAAAAGAAGAGAGAAATATGAGGGGCAAGTTCACGCATGAGAGAAATTAGAGACGTGGCGTAGATAAAAAGAGGAAACAGCAAGAAACTAAGATGATATAGGAAATTACAGGTAGGATGTGAACAAAACACATAGAGCAGTGAGAGGAAGAGAGCAGGAGAGGAAAAGGCGGGGTTTGGAGGAAGAAATGAACAGTGAAAATAGAGGGAGGGGGAAGAGGACAGAAACAAACAACACAAGAAAGGCGCAAAATGAAATAAAAATGGAGAGGATCAACATGAAAACGTAAAAACTATCAATTCTGGGAGTTTGTAAGGTTATGATGTCGTGGGGATGGTTCAATCATCGATAGAAGAAGAGGAAGGCATACAGGAAAGAAGAGTGGAAGTGGAGGGGAAGAAACTAAAGCTTTTCAGGGATATTTCTAGGAAAATCTCTGGAGAGGTTTTTTAGCGCATTTTTTAAGAATTAACTCTTACATGCGACAACCAACTGGTTTTAGAATTTGCATACGCATGCCTTTAGTGGTTCCAAGTAAAATTTTCGAAAATGGGGGGGGGGGGGTTAAACTCACGTTGTACCCTTCATGGTATTCTAATAAAAGGTCTCACCGAAATATGAATTGGTTTGTATAAACTATAACTTTCCTGCGCGACTCCTTTCCGAGATCAGTAGGTGACCGGGGGGAGAAGGGAGAGGGTAGATATTAATTTTATCTTTCAACTACCGCCCTACTTTCTGACTCCTTATCAAAAGAGGGGATTTGGGGGGAAGGGGGACTGGTCTTATTCATCATGGTAATGAAAGGTCACGACGAAAGGAATTAATTTCTACCAACCATAGCCTCCTACATTCCTTATCGTGATCGGGTATAAATAATTCCTTATATCTCAAAGACAGATGGTCGGAGGATGGTACTCACAAAGGGCGATTGGAACGTCTGGAGGAAATATATCTATTGGTGATGTCTTCCCATTAATCGTCTAACAAGCAACCATTTACTACGCTATTTTCGGTTTAAAAAATGCGCTTAATCTGCACAAGAGTTGTGCATAATTTATACTTGCTTTCATTTCTAGGAAGATCTTTCAGGATTTTTTTAAATTCAGTTTTAGAGCCGGATTGCACAGTATGATCGTTAGAAGTCTTTGAGATTCATAAATACTCCTCAAGAGTCTTAAGGCGTTCTATGTCTATCAAAGGCTGGAGATTTTCGAAGATCTTTAAAAACACAACCCTTAAACGTTGTTACAGTTCTTTAAAATTCTTAAAGATTCTTCTCTAAAAGCTCTCAAAGGTTTCCTAAAGGGACGAGACAATAGAAGATTGTGAGAGGCTCTTGAAGACTATTTTTCAAATGCTCTCGAAGTCTCTTAAAAATCTTTGGAAGACGTTATAGACCCTACGAGGATTTTGGGAGCCTTTAGTGACTCTTAAGAGCTTTTAAAGACTTTAAAGATAATTAAGTGCACTTAAGGCTCGTAAACTGAAAGAAAAAGTGTTGTCTACAAACGTGAATAGTGGAAATTGCTCCTCTAAAGAAATTACTAGTTTTCACCAACCAATAACGGTGGATTAAACCCGAATTAAGGAGGAGGATTTACTGGACGAAATCAAAACCGGAATACAAGGGTTTCTGGAAGAGGTGGATGTATATTTTGCCAGTAGGCAGGGGTTTTTCTCCAGACTTTCTAGTCGACGATACGATGCGGTTAATCCCGTTTACCTTTACTTGAATCGGGATTTACTAATAATAGAATAAACAATCAACGTGTTGGAACTGTGAACGCTTAGGGCACCATCGAACTAAATGTCCAGAACCGCGGCGGTTTTTTTGCTACAAGTGTGGAGCTACGGGCGTTACTGTACGTTTGTGTAGATTATGTTCGGGAAAAGGACGCAGAGATTGTTTTACTGCAACATGTGGGCCAACATTTGAGAGCTTATGGAAGTCCACATTTTCTGGAATATTGGATTCAGGCGCTTCGAGATTTACGTTTGCGTTTTATTACCTACGTCATGTGTTATTGCTGATGGTAGCACCATCACTTCGATAGGTTAGGCGACGATACTCATTACTCTGAAAAACCAAACTGTAGTAGGTACTTCGAGTACGGATTTCGTATTGGGCATCGATCTCTGGGATCATATGGGTATTGTACCTAATATTTCTGATAATTGCTGCCATTTTACTTCTGATCTGACCGTGAAGTCAATTGCTCCCATTGTGAAAAGACCTTTGCTGAGTGTCGAAGAACGGCACGCTTTACAGGTTCTTAATTTCAATATTGTTGTGTATTTCGAAGTTTATGTAAAACTCTTTTTTCTTAAACATTCTTCTTATGAAAGATTGAAGATTTTTCGATTGACAGGACTTCGTAAGATTAATTACTATGCACAAAGACACAGTAATTTTGTTGTTAGGGGTCCAATTTTCTTGTGCACGTTTAATAGTGATCTCATAGCTCGGTTCATCTCATTCCTTTCAATGAGCGCTTAGATAAACTTGTAAATGAGCAGAAAATAGGGAGAAATTGTATACACGTCACCCCTGAGCGTTTGACACCTTGAAAAATCCACGATATTTGTTTATAAATTAGAGGGGTGACATAATCCGCGGCCATTGTTGAAAGTGTTGCTTATGCACAAAGACGCGACCATTTTTATAGGGCCACGAAAACCACAATCGCAATCCCTAATACCGCTTTATTCCCCCTTGTAGAAAAAGAAGCTTCCCTCCGAAGATTAATTCCCAAGGGACTCCTCTAGATAGTATATAATAGTATCCTGGATTTGGAAAGATTTACACCATTTAAATTTTTAAAATTTCAAATTGAAATCGATCCGAAGCGAGGGTCCTCACATTAATTACGACAAAACTTATTTTGTTCGTCATTCCCCTCCGGTTCTTTTCAAGTCTTTTAAAGACGGCGTCTGAGGAAAAAATGTATGCATCCGCAGCAGTTCTTTTATAGGTGTATCAAAGGGATGAGTAATAACCTTGTTTGTATGCAGGAGGCGTAGGTAAAATTGAAAAAAATACGCAAACAAACGCCGTATGTTCCTTTCCCATCAACGGACGTATTCAAGCCACTCTGCTGCAGGCAAATAAGTCTCTCGTTTCTTCGTCGTTAATTCCTAATGGCGTTTTTTTTTCGATCGCCGTAAAAGCGAATATGCAATAATTTCGAACCTGCATGTACAAATTCAATCTGTTAGGGAAATTGCATGATGAGATTTGACTAGTGCGTGACTGAGGCGTAGGGGCCGCGTCCTTCCGGTGTATTTGGGGGAATAAACTAAATGTACGTCATCGTAAATCACGCTCAATATCCTACAATAAAGATTGGTATGTAAATTTTTACATTCGACGTTCGTTATAAACTTAAATATTTGTTTGAACCGTAAATTTTTATCGTTTAGCATTTCGCAGAGCGACAGAGATTTCGCCGCTTAAGCCCACTCCGCACGAACAGCGTCGTGCAAAAGAGCAAGATACGATTTAATCAGAAGGTGGCTTATGTAACGTGCTGTACGTTACTATAGCCGTTTGGTATCGTCTAAAAGGGAGTGTCTTTAGTGGCATCTAAAGATGGCCGGAAGAGTGTGCTGATATATGTAACGGAGGTTTGATAACGTGTTCGTTCGCTTGATAACCATCCCAGTGATCGAGTGAGAAATATTGCGGAAGTGCGGACCGCTATTTGGGACATCACGCAACGGCGTACTATACGCAACCACAAGGGTTGTTTTCAATTGAAAAGGGTAGTATGTCTTAAAGGAAACACGCTGACTTTATTATTATGGAAATTCTACCACGTCACCGCTATTGTAAGAACAAAATTGATGAAGTTTCTGGTTTAAACGATGTAGAAGTAATTGAGGCCAATTTTATTGTTCATAAAATGTTTTCCTTCCGACCGAAATTAATAACCTTCTCCAATTTTTTATCTAAACAATTCAATCGGAAACGAAGGACGACTTGCCTCATATCGGAATACTTTAATGAGGTGCCTAATTAATAAGAGAACGAGTGAGCAAGAATAATGTAATTTCTAATCCTATTCTATTACG